CTGATGTTGGGTATAAGGGCTGAGTCACTGGTCCTGATGTTGGGTATAAGGGCTGAGTTACTGGTCCTAATGTTGGGTATAAGGGCTGAGTTAATGGTCCTGATGCTGGGTATAAGGGCTGAGTTACTGGTCCTAATGTTGAGTACAAGAGCTGAGTCACTGGTCCTGATGTTGGGTATAAGGGCTGAGTCACTGGTCCCAATGTTGGGTGTAAGGGCTGAGTCACTGGTCCTAATGTTATGTATAAGGGCTGAGCCACTGGTCCTAATGTTGGGTGTAAGGGCTGAGTCACTGGTCCTAATGTTGGGTATGAGGGCTGAGTCACTGGTCCTAATGTTGGGTATGAGGGCTGAGTCACTGGTCCTAATGTTGGGTGTAAGGGCTGAGTCACTGGTTCTAATGTTGGGTATAAGGGCTGAGTCACTGGTCCTAATGTTGGGTATAAGGGCTGAGTCACTGGTCCTAATGTTGGGTATAAGGGCTGAGTCACTGGTCCTAATGTTGGGTGTAAGGGCTGAGTCACTGGTCCTAATGTTGGGTATAAGGGCTGAGTCACTGGTCCTAATGTTGGGTATAAGGGCTGAGTCACTGGTCCTAATGTTGGGTGTAGGGCTGAGTCAATGGTCTAATGTTGGGTATAAGGGCTGAGTCACTGGTCCTAATGTTGGGTATAAGGGCTGAGTCACTGGTCCTAATGTTGGGTGTAAGGGCTGAGTCACTGGTCCTAATGTTGGGTATAAGGGCTGAGTCACATGGTCCTAATGTTGGGTATAAGGGCTGAGTCACTGGTCCTAATGTTGGGTATAAGGGCTGAGTCACTGGTCCTAATGTTGGGTATAAGGGCTGAGTCACTGGTCCTAATGTTGGGTATAAGGGCTGAGTCACTGGTCCTAATGTTGGTATAAGGGTTGTTGGTCTTCATTCAAGTTTATTCTCTATAAGGGTTACAATGTGGGGTTTACAGGTTTTGGATATAAAATACTAATTACAGAGGGCGCCACTAGGACACCTAGCATTGCTAGGCATTTCCAGCAGACTTACATTAATTCTTAACATTAAATCCTTACAGATTATAGTATTAAGGCTAAGTGACTACATCATAATTTTAAGTTTAGCAATGTGAATGATTTTGTTTTGGCACAATACAAAGTGTCTATATTTGAGTAACATAGGCAAACTTACGACTAGTTAGGATTTATTATTTTAAGATTAAGATTAGTATTTCTGGGTTTATAGTCAGTGGGTGAGTGAGTGTAATTGTCAACTACCAGGTGGTTATCATGTAGTTAGTTGTCGGGGTGGATCACTGAGATAAGATGTTTTCTAACTCTAGTTTTGAAAGTGATGAATGTGTCTGCAGTTCTAGAGTTTTCAGGTAGGGTGTTCCAGATTTTAGGTCCATATTGTTAGATATAAGGGTTGTGGTGTATATTGTTGGGTATAAGGGTTGTCTGTCTTCATAGTGATGGTTATAAGGACCCTAATGGAAATAAGCCAGACTTTTTTGGGTTATCTCAGGTTCTCTACACATATATTGAATAAGCTTACTTATTCATATTGTTGGGTATAAGGGTTGTCTTCATATTATTGGGTATAAAGGTTGTTGGTCTTACTATTGTTGCATATAAGAGTCATTGGTTCTAACATTATTGGGTACAAGAGCTGCAAGGCCCTTAACATTAAGATAAGATTTGTAATAAAGTTGGTAGAATTACCGACAATATGTAAAGTAAAAGGACAGAAGTGCAACTAATGTGACATTTATTGTGGCAACGTTTCGCTCTCCAGGAGCTTTATCAAGCCATTACAAACAATACATGGACACAGAGGGTATATAAAGGCTCAGAGTGAGTTGCAATACTAGTGAGGTAACATTTCGATGTTCACTAGTGGTAGTAGTAGTAGTAGTAGTAGTAGTAGTAGTGGTGGTAGTGACAAAAGTAATACAACATGATAGAGCAATTAATTCATACAAGAGTAAAAGGATATAAAAGTTATTACTTGGGTAACAAAAATAGGTTGGACAAATATAGACTGCAAAGAGGCAGCTTGTTTCAGTGTTCACTCTCTGTAATGTGCTTTGTGTAGTATAACAGGAGAGACTATGTGATGGCAGGGTTTACTGTTTTCAGGAGGATTCTTGCTAAGACTTCGGAGATGGTGAAGCTGCCGTTGTTTTGTTTAATTGTATTCGAAACAGCGATCAGTGCTGATTCGAGGCACTTGCGTCTGCGGAAATTAGTTTCTTTGATCACTAATTGGGCGTCTCTGAATTTCATGAGATGATTGGTGGAATTTCGGTGTTGTACACAGGCGTTGTTCAAGTTATCGTTCCTACATGCATAAAAGTGTTCATTGAGGCGGGTGTCGAGGTTTCTTGTTGTTTCACCTACGTAAATCTTGTCACAGCCTCCACAGGGTATAGTGTAAACTCCTGCATTGACTGGTTCGTGGTGCTTGGATTGTGTCCTGGTTAGATCCTTTATTGAAGTGCTAGAAGCGATGGCGACTCTGGTGTTAGCTTGTGAAAGTACTTTTGAGACGTTCAGTGCAACCTGGCTGTTGGGAAGAATTATAACTTTGTTGGGAGTGGTGTTGATGCATCATCGGGTTTTTCCTAAGAGCATACCGAATTTGCAGTCCTGAGTTTCTTGACGAGGAATGTACATATATTCACCAAACATTCACTGAGTTACATTTTCCTTCTTTTTTCATCAAAGACTGCAAGAAAAGAGCTCTTCAGATCATTAATTCTCCAGGCATCAACACCACTCCCAACAAAGTTATAATTCTTCCCAACAGCCAGGTTGCACTGAACGTCTCAAAAGTACTTTCACAAGCTAACACCAGAGTCACCATCGCTTCTAGCACTTCAATAAAGGATCTAACCAGGACACAATCCAAGCACCACGAACCAGTCAATGCAGGAGTTTACACTATACCCTGTGGAGGCTGTGACAAGATTTACGTAGGTGAAACAACAAGAAACCTCGACACCCGCCTCAATGAACACTTTTATGCATGTAGGAACGATAACTTGAACAACGCCTGTGTACAACACCGAAATTCCACCAATCATCTCATGAAATTCAGAGACGCCCAATTAGTGATCAAAGAAACTAATTTCCGCAGACGCAAGTGCCTCGAATCAGCATTGATCGCTGTTTCGAATACAATTAAACAAAACAACGGCAGCTTCACCATCTCCGAAGTCTTAGCAAGAATCCTCCTGAAAACAGTAAACCCTGCCATCACATAGTCTCTCCTGTTATACTACACAAAGCACATTACAGACAGTGAACACTGAAACAAGCTGCCTCTTTGCAGTCTATATTTGTCCAACCTATTTTTATGTTACCCAAGTAATAGCTTTTATATCCTTTTACTCTTGTACGAATTAATTGCTCTATCATATTGTATTACTTTTGTTACTACCACTACTACTACCACTAGTGAACATCGAAATGTTACCTCACTAGTATTGCACCTCACTCTGAGCCTTTATATACCCTTTGTGTCCATGTATTTTTTGTAATGGCTTGATAAAGCTCCTGGAGAGCGAAACGTTGCCACAATAAATGTCACATTAGTTGCACTTGTGTCCTTTTACTTTACAAGATAAGATTTATTGGGATTTTTAACCTGGGGAGTGTGTGTGTGTGGGGCAAGGGGGGGGGGGGTTGTTAGCCACTCAGGATAACCCAAGAAATGCAGTGAATCATTGAGGGACTGTCTGTCTTATTTCCAGTGTGGTCCTCAATCTTGTTTCCCAGGATGTGACCCACACCAGTTGACTAACACCCAGGTCCCTACTTGCTTGCTAAGTGACTGGGGACAACAGGTGTAAGGAAATTAGCTCACTGTTCCCACCTTTGCCAGGGATCGAACCATGGACACTCAGTGTGTGTAAAAACAGCAATGCCTACCAGGCCATAGGCCAGGTTCTTACTGCTAGCTATCCTAGGTAATTTACATACGTTACTATTTCCCCACAACCACACTCCAGGGGAGCAAGGGCGCCTAGCCGAAGCTAGCATGGCCGTGACGAACTTTAGCTCAAGTCCCCGTGGTATAGTTTGTTTGTAATTGTCATTACGATTTCGTGAGTCATGTTAACGGCTTTGAGGGGACTTGAGCTAGAGTTCATCACGGCCACGCTAGCTGGAGATTCGTCTGTAAAAACTTGCATTTGTGGTCACAGTGGTGCCTATACTAACCTTCCTATGGTGTAGAAATATACCTAGTTGGACGAATCTTATTGTGGCTAGCTGGTCCAGTGGCTAACGCGACGGTCTGGAGTTTTGAGACTCTCTGACCGCGGGATCAAACCCTACCCGTGGTATGGTTGATATTATTATTGTTAGTAATAATTAACAAGCAAAGCTTCTATTAATCTTTCACACTTGAACTTACAATCTTTATACAGTGTCCTTCCTTCAATTCTAAAATAATTCCCACAATGCAAAATATTTGAATCTTAATTCAGCACAAAATTGACTCTTTGTGTAACTGTGACACATTTGACACAGATGTCCTTATCCTTACTTTCTGAAATTCAGGTAGGCAATAGCCTGAAAAGCAAGACTCTGTGGGTGTTTACTGCAGGTTAGATAAAAAAGGGTTGCTAACCATACCACATCTCCTGTAAATACTGAACAAATATTAGTAATAATGGTAGAATTTCTGACAAAATGTTATGTAGATGGACACAGATGTAACTAATGTGACATTTTATTGTGGCAATGTTTCACTCTCCAGAAGCTCTGTAAAGCTGTTATGTTCCCACAATAAAAATGTTACATTAGTTGCATCTGTGTCTATCTACCTAACAGAACAAATATACAGTGGACCCCCGGTTTATGATATTATTTCATTCCAGAAGTATGTTCAGATGCCAGTACTGACCGAATTTGTTCCCATAAGGAATATTGTGAATTAGATTAGTCCATTTCAGACCCCCAAACATACATGTACAAACGCACTTACATAAATACACTTACAGAATTGGTCGCATTGGGAGGTGATCGTAAACCGGGGATCCACTGTATTCACAGCTGTGGGGGCCTTTCAGTGCCAACACATGGCAAGTGAATGCTTGGACTGGGGGACAGAGGTGAAGGTAGGTACAGCATAAGTACTAAAGCAGAAAATTATAGATGGTCTAACAAGTCAGTTAACAAAACACACAATCTGTTGAAATTGCAAGGCAATAAATAATTGTTTGGATCAAAATTGTGGGCATATTTATGTTCTAATTACCATTTGAAAATCACCTATTATGTGTGTAGTTAAGAATATCAATATTACAAATGATGCTTTCAAGTTTCTAAATGTGGTTAATCAAAGTCAATGCAATTATGTGACTACTGTATTTTTCTAAAAATGTACAATAAACAAGTAGAAATGATGCAAATGGAGAGAAAACAATGACACATGGTGTTGAGGGAAGAACATTGGCAGATTTATATTATAGATTTGTATTTATTCTCCACAGGGAAGCAGAACAGAATTCTTCCTCTGTAAACCATGCATGTCGTAAAGGGCGATTAAATTGCTGGGAGCAAGGGGCTAATAATCCCTTCTCCTGTATACATTACTAAATTTATAAAGAGAAACTTTTGTTTTTCTTTTTGGGCCACCCTGCTTTGGTGGGATGCAGCTGGTGCGTTGAAAGACTAATAATATACATATGGATGTAGGCAGAGTTGATCGGCTGGTCAAACTTGAGGGACTGACCACTTCCCACCGAGGGTGACAGACTGACAACTTCAAAACTACACTACTGCTGATTCCAGTATTCAACTGAAGGAGCCTGTTGAGCAGGCTAAACATTTCAGTAATGAAGTGTTGCACAGGTGTCTCACTGTTGCATATGTGTCTTATTCATCAGAAGATCATTATGCCGAGTTTTAAAAAAATCATTTTTAGGGGGGGATGTTGCAATTCAGGGCTTTATCACAGCCTGGTTGATCTAGCAGTTAGTGCAATGCAGGAATAAAAATGCTGGCAATGTTGTGACTGGCTTGACCCAAACTATGGTGTATGGTCCTGCTGGGAATCTGCACCTTTAAGTTTACCTGGAGAGGGTTTCGGTAGTCAATGCCCCCACAGCCCGGTCTGAGACCAGGCCTCATGGTGGATCAGGGTCTGATCAACCAGGCTATTACTGCTGGCCGCACGCAAGCTGATGTATGAACCACAGCCCGGTTGGTCAGGTACTGACTTTAGGTGCCTGTCCAGTGCCTTCTTGAAGACAGCCAGGGGTCTATTGGTAATCCCCCTTATGTATGCTGGGAGGCAATTGAACAGTCTTGGGCCCTGGACACTTACTGTGTTGTCTCTCAGTGTACTTGTGGCACCCCTGCTTTTCATCGGGGGAATGTTGCATCTCCTCCCGAGTCTTTTGCTTTCATATGGAGTGATTTTCGTGTGCAAGTTTGGTACCAATCCTTCCAGGACCTTCCAAGTGTATATTATCATGTATCTCTCTCACATGCGTTCGAGGGAATACAGATCAAGGATCTTCAACCATTCCCAGTAGTTTAGGTGCCTTATCGCACTTGTGTGTGCTGTGAAAGTTCTTTGTACACTCTCCAGGTCTGCAATGTCGCAGCCTTGAAGGGGGCCATTAGTGTACAGTAGTATTCCAGCCTAGAGATCACAAGTGATTTGAAGAGAATCATCATGGGCTTGGTATCCCTAGTTTTGAAGGTTCTCATTATCCTAGCAGATGAGGTAGATACATTGCTGTGATCTTTTAAGGGTGAGATTCTCTGACATTATCGCTCCCAGGTCCTTCACATTACTTTTCCGCTCTACTGTATGGTTGTATGGTTAGAATTTGTGGTATACCCTGACATATTTTTAATTTCTTCAAGTTTTCCATATCTGAGTAGTTGAAATTTCTCCTTGTTGAGCTTCATATTGTTTTGAGTGGCCCATTCGAAGATTTGGTTGATGTCCACTTGGAGTCTCACGGTGTCTTCAATGGAGGTCACTGCCATGGTGATCCGGGTGTCATCCGCAAATGAAGACACAGAGTTATGGCTTACATCTCTATGTCAGAAATGAGGATGAGGAATAGAATGGGAGTGAGTACTGTGTCTTGTGGAGCAGAGCTTTTTACCATGGCTGCCTGGGACTTTACTCTGTTTACTATTACTCTTTGTGTTCTATTTGTCAGGAAGTTGTAGATCCATCTACCAACTTTTCCTGTTATTCCTTTTTCCCACATTCTGTGTGCTATTACACCATGGTCACACTTATCGAAAGCTTTTGCAAAGTCTGTGTATACTACATCTGTATTTTGTTTATCCTCTACAGCATCCAGGACCTTGTCATAGTGGTCCAGTAGCTGGGACAGGCAGGAGCGACCTGCTCTAAACCCGTGTTGCCCTGGTTTGTGTAACTGATGGGTATCTAGATGGTTGGCTATCTTGCTTCTTAGAGCCTTCTCAAAGAATTTTATGATATAGGATGTTAGTGCTATCAGTCTGTAGTGCCAACAACTATTGTACAATGCAACTTGTGTAATTTACTTAATAGTATTTAGAGGAAATGCTACACCATTTTTTTCAAAACATCCATACTCATTACCTATAAAAAATTATTTTGTCTAATAAGCACACTTTCATTATCAAACATGATAGACCTCTAAAGTATGGCACTTACTGTTAAATTACACACCGTTACCATCTGGAAATGAATGAGAGAGAAGGGTCAGCAGTATATATGGTAAACTCTGAGATATCTCCCTGACAGCAATTCCTAATTAGCATTAATATCTGCTAATGGTTCAAGGAATCATTGACCCAGCGGCCTTCCCTTGGACCCGGCCTCTTAAATTAGAAAGGAAATACACTAAGTATATAGTGAACATGAGTAGAAGCTTGTAAGCTTTACCAGCCATCTTACATGTTCATGAGAGAAAGAAAAAAAAATAGGGCTTCTGTTTCAAACTCCTATGAAAGGGCCGCAGTGCCTCCCTGGGTTTTTGTTCGCTTATCAATTTACTACCTATTTACATATCATCTTAGTCTAAATTGCATTGTATTGGCAATTACTGAAAATTCTCCACTAGGAACTATCAGTCAAACTAATGTATGTACAGTATTAAATAAAATAAAAAAAACCCTGTCGAATCACATACTGTATATGCATCATTAAAGCTCTTGAAGTGCTGTATTAGATATCACAATATATGTGTTATCCAGGGTACAACGTATAGCACTCTGTTACTCATTGGTAACATCGTCAGAATTACCACTATAATAATTTGAATAAGAGTAACAACAAGTAGAGTATTTAGAGAATACTGATAGTGTTGTGGAAAAGTTTAGTTACCTTCAGTAGAATATACAAGAATATACAATGGGAAGCTACCAATTTAACAGAAAAATATATGGGCAGAACCATTCTCTGGAATAATAGGACTAAGCTTTATCCCAGCTACTTAACACAACAGGTGGTATGACTCACGAAATCGTGGTATGGTTTGCTTAACAGGTGGTATGTTTGTCATACTCTCGAGCTAGCAAATAAAATAATTGAAGAAAAATAAAATATGCTTAGGCTATGGCAGACTGCCCAGGAACCACATATGTCACTAAAAAACACTTAAAATTTTAAGTCATGAATAATATATGGTCTCATAAAATATGTATGTACAGTTTATTCTATACAGCAGATTGCTCAAAAAATCTATATATCTATAATAGTTCTCTACAAGAATTTGAACATATCAAGATACAGTACTACGTATTTTGACATAACTTGCTTAAGAAATCAAGCCTTAAAAACCCAGAGGTCTTTCAGCAATAATATTTCCATGGCAAGACAGCTCCTTGGCAATAGCTTCAAGGTCACTGAAGTTCTTCTGTGAGACACTTGATTTTACAGCAGTGAGGTTCAGCTGAATACGATCAGATGCCTGCAAAGAAATTTGTAATTCCCATTCAAGCATTTAATTTGCATCTTGCCTTCCTTTAACATTATTTTTCTGTTTAAACCCAAACACCCAAAATATTAAAATTCAATTACTATAGCATCCTAAGCCTGTAAAAACATATTTTTGTGTGTATATGCTGTATGCTGAGACAGTATGTACTTTAATACCAATTTTGGGGAGTGTTTCTGACTGGTGTACAGGTTCCATGCATACCTAACGGCCCTCATATTGTCAATAGGTTTTAAATCCAATAAAATAACAAGCTTCAAAATGTAAATTGTAAATGGAAAGAGAAGTTTCTGGTTTTACTATGTTCATAACAAAAATATTTAATACAATTATTTAATTATTAACACACTGGCTGATTCCCACCAAGGCAGGGTGGCCCGAAAAAGAAAAACTTTCACCATCATTCACTCCATCACTGTCTTGCCAGAATGTGCTTTACACTACAGTTTTCAAACTGCAACATTAACACTCCTCCTTCAGAGTGCAGTCACTGTACTTCCCATCTCCAGGACTCAAGTCCGGCCTGCAGGTTTCCCTGAATCCCTTCATAAGTGTTACTTTGCTCACACTCCAACAGCATGTCAAGTATTAAAAACCATTTGTCTCCATTCACTCCTATCAAACACGCTCACGCATGCCTGCTGGAAGTCCAAGCCCCTCGCACACAAAACCTCTTTTACCCCCTCCCTCCAACCTTTAATACTGAAGATACATCTTTATAAGAAAAAAATGAGTTTGCACATTCCTTTTCCCAATTAAATGTTCAGTGTCTGTATGAATGAGGCCACCACAAAATGATATATACCAAATACAGTCTCAATAAAAAAAAAATTGTTGTGCATTGCAAAAAAAAAAAAAAAAAAAAAAAACTTATCACTGATTAGGAATCAATCAGAAAGGATTAGAACTGTAATGAAAGCAAAAGGTCAAATTATTAGATATTGATATTTTGTATCTTGTAAGTTCCCTAATAAAGATCCTTCAGCTGTTTATTTACAGTATTTTATAAATTAACTTTCAGATATTTTTGGCAGCAAAGGTTTTTTTTTTTTTTACAGAGACTGTAAGCAATCAATAGATAATCACTGATCTACTTTAACACACTTTAATAAACCTGAAATTCTACCAACCTCATTCACCCAAACTCTTGCTATCTTCTCCTCATGATCAGAGGATAGAAGATTCAAGTTGAGAGAGCGGGATGCCCGGGAGAGAACCACCAGACTGGCATAGAGGTCAATGCAAGAATTAGCCAGGCGATTAAGGAGGAACTGCTGGTCAATGATACTCTTGCCATGCTTCATCAAGAGACCCTCCGCAGTATAACCAAATGCCTCGACAGCCTGTTCAAAAATATTAATATTTCACTGATAGGATTTACATAAGATCAAAAATACAAAGCTTATAATAAAATATTTCAGTCCAATTTGACCTAAGCATTACAAATATATAAGAGGAGCAAAGCAGCTGCTGCAAGGGCACTTTATACCTATCATATTCCATGGAAACCTAACCAAGGTTTCACTCCACAAGAGGAATAATTTCAAGTATACATTCCAGCTTCATAATGGTCTGTTGTGCTTACTCCTTATTCACGACACTTGAGAGCTGTTATCTGCACAGAGCCATTACCCTTCAAGAATGAGGAGGAGAAAGCTTGATAATGGTGAAGGACTCATGACCTAAGTTCTTCAAGCAACTCTCTCTTCAGATCAAGCATAACTGCCTCCCATTTCCAGGTGCTGTATGGCCCCCACAGGTTTAGAGCTTCTTCAGGATGATAATGTGCAACAGGGAACACTCATTACACAAACAACCCACACACAGGACAAACAAACTTATGACAACATTTCAATCTGACTTTTATCAGTGTGTGTGAGACTAGTTAATGATCCAAGTTGGACTGAAACACCATCATAAATTTCTTACTATGTGTGGGTTTTATGTGTGTATTGTTCTAGTAACTGTATTGTGCCTTTGTATTTTGTAGAGAACACTCATTACAAAAGATATACTGCTGAAATAGCATTTTTAAGAAGATAAATTTCTCCTTCACTAATTGCATTCATAATGTATACAGAATACTACAGCACTTTTATAACCTATTTTCAAACTTATAATCTGAAAACAGATGGAGGAAAATAGGACTGACTGGTACTTTTATTCAATATACATATGAAAGAAGTGTGTGTGTACAAGGATTGGTAAAGAGTATATATACATATGATTCCTTTATATAAAAGTAATGGGAAAATATAGAAAAAGAAGAGAAGGTATGTTAAGTGTATATGGCAGGATTTGTTTTTTTCAACATATAGGCTATATCCCACCAAGGCAGGGTGACCTGAAAAGAAAAACTACAGTTTTTCTTTTTAAATTTAGTAATTTATGCAGGAGAAGGGGTTACTAGCCCTTTCTTCCCAGTATTTTAGTTGCCTCTTACGACATGCATGGTTTATGGAGGAAGAATTTTGCTTCATTTCCCTATGGAGAATGGCAGGATCTTTTTTTTTTAAACACGTCGGCCGTCTCTCGCCAAGAAAGGGTGTCCCAAAGAGAAAGAAAAAACTTTCATCATCATTCAATATTTTCACCATCACTCGTACATAATCACTGTCTTTGCAGAGGCACTCAGATACGACAGTTTAGATGTCCCTCCAAACTGCCAATATCCTAAACTCCAGGATTATGACTGATAAAATAGCATGCTAGCGAAAGTTAGCTGCTCAGAATTTACACTCAAATTGTTAGCAGTGAAGTATTAAAGCTAATCAGATGAGGCACTAAGAAATAATCACATGAACAACAGTATTTAAATTTCCCAATTTCTTCCATAACGAGGAAGCTGGTATCTACACATACAAAAATCCATCCAAACTGTTCTCCAGGTAAGATTGATTAGCATTTAAGGACTGAGAAACTAACTAGGAGAGTAAGATTTAGTTATTTAGGCTTTGGATACCGAACACCCAATTTTTTTTTTTTTTTACAGTGATCTACAGGACACACAAGTGTTATGAGCACAAACATTACACTATGCAAATTTAACCCAATAAAGTTAAGCAGATTTATTACTGATCAGAAGAAACCTTCTGCACTTATTTCATGAAACTAATTTTGTTAAATAAAACTGGCACATTAATACAAAAATAACCCACACATAGGAGAGAGAAGCTCCTGACGATGTTTTGGTCTAACTTGGACCATTTACAAATCACACTAACACAGAGTGAGGGAGCCAATATATATAGGCAAGGGGGAAAGGGATGGGACAGAAAGAGGAAGAAGTAGTGGTGGTAGTGGTAATGTTGGTAGTGGAAGTACAGTGGACCCCCTGTTTACGATATTATTTCATTCCAGAAGTATGTTCAGGTGCCAGTACTGAACGAATTTGGTCCCATAAGGAATATTGTGAATTAGATTAGTCCATTTCAGACCCCCAAACATACACGTACAAACGCACTTACATAAATACACTTACATAATTGGTCGCATTGGGAGGTGATCGTAAAGCGGGGGTCCACTGTATATAGCTTCATCAGCTTCTCTCTCATATACAGTGGACCCCCGCATAACGATCAGCTCCCAACTCGACCAATTATGTATGTGTATTTTTGTAAGTGCTTTTGTAGGTGTATTTTTGGGGGTCTGAAACGGACTAATCTAATTCACAATATTTCTTATGGGAACAAATTCGGTCTATAACGGCACCCAAACAGACTTCTGGATTGAAATAATATCGTTATGCAGGGGTCCACTGTATATGGGTTATTTATGTATTGTTTCAGTCAGGGTGTTGTGCCTTTTTGTTGTCTTTGGCATATCAAAACTTACACAACCTAAAACCAAGGAAAGGCTTTTTTTTGTTTTTTAAGGATAAACGCAAGTACTAAAACTGGCTAAACAGACTCTGGAGACTGGAATGTGTAATGGCTGCACTCACTCTTCCTAGAAGCAAGGCAGAGTCAGATAGCTTAGGATGGATGCCTTCAATGGTGCCATTATTGGTGAAACCAATGGCCCGCTTGGCTCTCTTGGTGCCCTCACCCAGAATCAGACCCATGTTGGCAGCGGGATTCTTCAGGGCCTGCTGAAGTTCACGTAAATGCCCACCGGCATACTGAAGCCCTAATAAAAGCAAAAAATACTGAAACATTATTTAAAAGAAAATTGTCATGCAATTATTATATTTAAGCCTGATTACTATTTTTATTTTAACCTTTATTCAAATCCTGGGTAACCATTAAATAATTCTAAGAAACTTGTTAAAAATAATTATTCACAAGCTTTCCAAACATTACTATAATACAGTGGACCCCCGCATAACGATTACCTCCGAATGCGACCAATTATGTAAGTGTATTTATGTAAGTGCATTTGTACGTGTATGTTTGGGGGTCTGAAATGGACTAATCTACTTCACAATATTCCTTATGGGAATAAATTCGGTCAGTACTGGCACCTGAACGTACTTATGGAGTGAAAAAATATCGTTAACCGGGGGTTCACTGTATATAGTACTATAAAGAAATCTTAATATCAACAATAAACTTAATACATTCACAGGTTTCATTAAGGATGCCACACACCAGTCAAAGCAACAAAGAGACGGAGAATATCATTTGTTCCCTCAAAGATCCTGAAAATACGAAGGTCCCTCAGCACTCGCTCAAGGCCCGTTTCCTTCATGAAGCCCATGCCACCCATGACCTGTATAGCCTCGTCTGTCACTGTCCAGGCTGCTTCAGATGCAAAGCACTACATGGAAAAAATAATATTCAATTTTATTCTTCTGAAGCCAAGTATATTACAACAGGCTCTTTTTTTTAAGTTACAGTGGTACCTCGAGTTTCAAACAGCTCCCAACTTGAACACTTATGTAAGTGTATTTTTGTAAGTGCTTTTGTAAGTGTACTTTTGGGGTTCTGAAACAGACTAATCTAATTTACATTATTCCTTATGGGAACAAATTCGTTTGGTATCAGCACTTGAACAGTCTTCTGGAATGAAAGTTCAAAACTCGGGGTATCACTGTAGTTCTACTGTCTTCCTATTGTGTCCTTGAATTTGTATTGGTAAAGCCACTGGATGGCGAAACTTCTACAATAAAGATATCCAGATGTGGCACATATGTCAAATTCTCCATTTTGTCAGCATTGTATACCATATATTCACAAAAAAAAAAAAAAAAAAAAAAAAAAAAAAAAAAAAAAAAAAAAAAAAAAAAAAAAAAAAAAAAAATTGGATATAACATTGGAGAGAGGGAGTATAGAAGTGAATGTTTGCAGATATTTGGAAGTTGACTTGTCAGTGGATGGGTTTACGAAGGATGAGGTTAACCATAGAACTGATGAAGGAAAAAAGGTGAGTGGTGTGTTGAGGTATCTGTGGAGACAAAAAACATTATCCATGGAGGCAAAGAAGGGAATGTATTAAAGTATTGTGGTACCAACACTCTTATATGGGTGTGAAGCTTGGGTTGTAAATGCTGCAGCGAGGAGACGGTTGGAGGCAGTGGAGATGTCCTGTCTAAGGGCAATGTGTGATGTAAATGTTATGCAGAGAGTTCGGAGTGTAGAAGTTAGAAGGTGTAGAGTTACTAAAAGTATTAGTCAGAGGGCAGAAGAGGGGTTGTTGAGGTGGTCTGGTCGTTCAGAGAGAATGGATCAAAGTAGAATGACATGGAGAGTGTATAAATCTGTAGGGGAAGGACAGCGGGGTAAGGGTCGTCCTCGAAAAGGCTGGAGGAGGGGGTAAAGGAGGTTCTGTGGACAAGGGGCTTGGACTTCCAGAAAGGAGTGAATGGAGACGAATGGTTTTTGGGACCTGACGAGCTGTTGGAGTATGGGCAGGGTAATATTTAGTGAAGGGATTCAGGGAAACTTGATATTTTTATATAGCTCGACTTGAGTTCTGGAAATGGGAAGTACAATGTTGCCTGCACTTTAAAAGAGGGGTTTGGGATACTGGCAGTTTGGGGGGTATGTTATATATCTTTACATATGCTTCTAAACTGTTGTATCTGGGTGCCTCTGCAAAGACTGATTATGTGTGAATGAGGTGATAGTGTTGAATGATGATGAAAGTATTTTCTTTTCTGGGAATTTTTCTTTCTTTTTGGGTCACACTGTCTCGGTGGGAGACAGCTGACTTGTTGGGGAAAAAAAAAAAAAATCACAAGTTATATTTTGGGACAGGTAAGAGACATACACAAGTTATATTTTGGGACAGGTAAGAGACATGCACAAGTTATATTTTGGGACAGGTAAGAGACATGCACAAGTTATATTTTGGAACAGGTAAGAGACATGCATAAGTTATATTTTGGAACAGGTAAGAGACATGCACAAGTTATATTTTGGGACAGGTAAGAGACATGCACAAGTTACATTTTGGGACAGGTAAGAGACATGCACAAATTATATTTTGGGACAGGTAAGAGACATGCACAAGTTATATTTTGGAACAGGTAAGAGACATGCATAAGTTATATTTTGGAACAGGTAAGAGACATGCACAAGTTATATTTTGGGACAGCTAAGAGACGGAAAAAAACAAAAAAAATCAAACAAAAATGTTACAGATGAAACATCTTACACCAAATACTGTACTAACTTTAGAAATAGCAGCTTCTAAGTGATAATCCTTGGATCCTGCATCCATGTTAGAAGAGATCATATATGTCATGGATTCTGACACATAGTGCAACATTGCCATGCGAGACAACTTTTCCTGCAAGAATGAAAGTAAAACTGTTAATAATATATACTGAAGGATTGTTAAGACCTTAATTACTGCACATGTATAAAAACAGCAACAGGTTGAACTTTTTCACAAAATAAAATTTGACTCGAGTTTTACCAATTAATTTACGACAAAAATGAATAAGAAATTAAAGAAACATCGGTTGTCTCCCACCGAGGCAGGATGAGAATCCCCAAAAGGAGAAATACTTTCATCATCATTCAACACTTTCACATCACTTACACATAATCACTATGTATTGCAGAGGCGCTCAGATACGACAGTTTGGAAATCCTTCCAAACTGCCACTTGCTGGAAGTCCAACCCCTTCGCAAACAAAACCTCCTTTACCCCCTCCTTCCAATCTTTTTGAGGACGACTCCTACTCTGCTTTCCTTCCCCTACAGATTTATACGCTCTCCAAGCCATTCTACTTTGATCCATTCTCTCTAAATGACCAAACCACCTCAACAACCCCTCTTCAGCCCTCTGACTAATACTTTTAGTAACTCCACACCTTCTCCTAATTTCCACACTATGAATTCTCTGCATAATATTTACACCACACATTGCCCTCAGACAGAACATCTCCACTGCTTCCATCACCTTCTCGCTGCAGCATCTGCAACCCAAGATTCACACCCATACAAGTATGTTGGTACCACTATACTTTCGTACATTCCCTACTTTTCCTCCATGGATAATGATTTTTGTCTCCACAGATACCTCAATGCACCACTCACCTTTTTTCCTTCATCAATTCTATTGTTAACCTCATCCTTCATAAACCCATCCACTGACAAGTCAACTCCCAAATATCTGAAAACATTCACTTCTTCCTACCCCCTCTCTCCAATGTGATACCCCAATTTTTCTTTTTCTAGATTTTTAAATACCCTCATCACCTTACTCTTTCAGTTCCTTTCAACTTTCTACTTTTACCACATGCTGAAAAACAAAAGACATAAAAACGAAAAGAAAGAAAGACGAAAAAGTAAAGCTTTCATTTGGAACATTTTTTTTACATTAAGATAAAGAAAAAATTTTATGCTACAAAGCAAGTCTTTACCTGGAAGTTCCATAGCTATCAATACTTGACCAAAAACTGTGTTTGGAAGGGGCAAAGTCAAACCCTTTCTTGATGATAAAAATTTTGACCATCATCCCAAGCCCCCAAAACCCTCCCTTTTTTAAATCCCCATGGAAACCCCAAAAATAAATTAATAATAACAATAATTTAGTATAATTTTACAAATTAAAGGGAATTATTTAAGAGTTTATAATAAAATAAAAAATCAGGTTAAAAAAACCCCAGTACAAAAAAAAAACAAATTGGAGGCCTAACTGAAGGTGATGATGGTTTGTTTTTTTTCTTAAAAATAGTCCCTTTTCTTTGAAATCTTTTTCAATGCTTTTTTTGGAGGCAGAGAAAATCGTTTTAAATCAGCCCCTAATAAAGATAAATTGTATAAGTCTTGTTTATTTTCATACATTGAACTAAAAACAAAATTTTTTTTAACTTGCTTCACATGGGGGCCTGGTAGGGGCTGGGGGTAGGGGCACGGTCACTGGAATACCCTCCAAAGGTATGGAAATTTTTTAATAGTACATTTTGAAAATTTTTTTTTTCCAAACTTTTGTGTTTTTTGGGACCCTTTATAGGGCTGCCCTAGGGCGCTGCCTACACCACCCCTTTTATCCAGCCCACAAAAAATGAAATTCCCCAAAAAACAAAAAATTTAAACATTACTTTTTTTCCTTAAATCCCCTTACCAGGGCCTCCAAGAAAAATTTTCCCCGGGAATTTTTGTGCCCAAAGTGACCTGGTTATTGGAACCCCTTTTTCCCCTCTTTTTTTTTTGGGGGTCCATGAGGAAAAACCCCCCAAAAAGCTTTGCTCCACTAAATGCGTCCCGTCCTTAGTTACAACCCGCCAATAAAAAAATTTTCACTGAGGGAAAATTGATATTATATTTCAAGAAAATATTAATAATAATAATAATCAAAATAATGATTATAATCTTTATTTCTACAAGTACATGATACAACTTCAAAGTAAGTGGCCCGGTGGCCCAGTGGCCTGGTGGCTAAAGCTCCCGCTTCACACACGGAGGGCCCGGGTTCGATTCCCGGCGGGTGGAAACATTTCGACACGTTTCCTTACACCTGTTGTCCTGTTCACCTAGCAGCAAATAGGTACCTGGGTGTTAGTCGACTGGTGTGGGTCGCATCCTGGGGGACAAGATTAAGGACCCCAATGGAAATAAGTTAGACAGTCCTCGATGACGCACTGACTTTCTTGGGTTATCCTGGGTGGCTAACCCTCCGGGGTTAAAAATCCGAACGAAATCTTATCTTATCTTAAGTGCAATGAATTACTTTCAAACAGTGAGCTACTCTTTGGGTTCACAAATTACTATTATATTCATAGGGAACTGCAAAATCCGTAGGTGTTATGTAGCAACTGGGTTTTAATCCATGGAAGAAAGTAGCTATAAGGCAACATCAGTACAACTTACTTGAAGTTACAAATTATAATTTTTAATCCTGAAATACAAAAACCATTGAGTAAGCTCAATACACAAATAACTTGCACATAGGAGAAATAAAGTTAGATCGTTTTTGAGTGAAATGTCATAAGTCACTCATACCTCAGCGAGAGGTGGATGTTGTGTTAAACTTTTAAAGGAAGAAAATATAGCAATAAATTCGTAAAAGTAATAAAAATAATAAGTGTATCTACAAAAAAAAATTATGATCCCAATGTTATAACAAAGATCAAGATCATGTGAAATCAATACCACCAAGCAGAGTAGGTGTAAAGTATGTACAGTATTCCACATGAATTGTCAGAAAAGCATGTAATCTTTACGTCCCTATTATTATTGTAATTACATTGCAGTGCTATGCATACTATGGACTTCACAACTGCATTTGCACTCTATTCATATTTCATATGAATTAGGTTCATTTAATTTTATCTCTAGGATGAATTACATACTAATTCTAACCTGTCTTTGGATCTGTAAACGGACTTTGTGCAAACACTGTAAATACTTCTGCCAAGCCACCATTACTAATCCAGATTTTAGAGCCATTAAGTACATAGTGAGAACCATCTTCTGCGAGTACAGCTCGGCTTCTAATAGAACCAGCATCTGATCCACTTGAGGGTTCAGTCAGGGCAAACGCTGCAATGTGTTCCCCAGTAGCAACCTTCGGAAGGTACTTGGCCTTTTGCTCTGGGGTGCCAGTAATCATGATCCCCTGAAAAAAAATAACAAAATAAGACATTTTTACTTGTAGGTAGTAGGTTGGTAGACAGCAACTGCCCAGGGAGGTACTACCGTCCTGCCAAGTGAGTGTAAAACGAAATCCTGTAATTGTTTTACATGATGGTAGGATTGCTGGTGTCTTTTGTCTGTCTCATAAACATGCAAGATTTCAGGTAAGTCTTGCTACTTCTACTTACACTTAGGTCACACTACACATACATGTACAAGCATATATATACACACCCCTCTGGGTTTTCTATTTTCTTTCTAGTTCTTGTTCTTGTTTATTTCCTCTTATCTCCATGGGGAAGTGGAACAGAATTCTTCCTCCATAAGCCGTGCATGTTGTAAGAGGCGACTAAAATGCCGGGAACGAGGGGCTAGTAACCTCCTCTTCTGTGCAAATTACTAAATTTAAAAAGAAAAAGTTTTTTTTCTTTTTGGGCCACCCTTCCTTGGTGGGATACGGCCGGTTTATCGAAAGAAAGAAGAGGACATTTTTACTGTTTTCTGTGAAAGCAGATTTTACCATTTCTTAATAGAGTACAGATGTATTACTATTATACTAATGGTATATAATACCTACAAATAGAAGAATCTCCATGCAGAAGTGAAGAAGAAATCTTCCTCTGTAAGCCATGCATGTCATAAGAGGCAACTAAAATGATGCAAGCAAAGGGCTAGTAACCCCTTCTGTATAAATTACTAAATGTATAAAGAAAAAGACTTTAATTTCTACTTATTCAGGTCACCTTATCTTGGCGGGAGATGGCCAGAGTTTAACCATTGAACTGTCCAAACATAGATCTACGTTTTTTCAACATTTGAAAGTATGTAAAAAAAGTAGATCGTTTCTTTTTTTACATTTAAAAAAAAAAAAAAAAAAAATAGATCTACTTTTGGAGCACTACGCATGTGAACGTAGATCTGCTTGGACAGTTTAAGGGTTAAAAAAAAAAAGAAAAGATGAATAAGACAGAGAATGGAGCGAAACAGAATGACTTCAAGAGTGTATCAGTCTGTAGTGGAAGGAAGGCGGGGTAGGGGTCGGCCTAGGAAAGGTTGGAGGGAGGGGGTAAAGGAGGTTTTGTGTGCGAGGGGCTTGGACTTCCAGCAGGCGTGCGTGAGCGTGTTTGATAGGAGTGAATGGAGACGAATGGTTTTTAATACTTGACATGCTGTTGGAGTGTGAGCAAAGTAACATTTATGAAGGGGTTCAGGGAAACCAGCAGGCCGGACTTGAGTCCTGGAGATGGGAAGTACAGTGCCTGCACTCTGAAGGAGGGGTGTTAATGTTGCAGTTTAAAAACTGTAGTGTAAAGCACCCTTCTGGCAAGACAGTGATGGAGTGAATGATGGTGAAAGTTTTTCTTTTTCGGGCCACCCTGCCTTGGTGGGAATCGGCCAGTGTGATAATAATAATAATAAAAAAAAAAAAAAGACACAATGTAACATAGTGGTATCTTTAGTTGCAAAATGTTTCAACGATGTGGCAGGCTTCTTCAGCTACATACAGGGAGAACATTGCTATGAAAATGAGCAACTTTTATCAAGGTTGAGGAAATGAATACCTCAAATCTGCTTCTCCATCTTTATCAAGACTGAGGAACTCAACACAACACCTCACTCTCTTGGTCAACTGCCTCTAGTATTTTACTCCTCTATGTTCAACTGAAAAAACTTTCTGTGCAGGTAAAACTTCTCAAAAATGTGGATACCAGAGTTTTTCACATGTCTTATTCATGTACCAAAGCTATTACAGTTACAAAGACTACCTGGAAACTAAAATAATAACAAAAACAGTGTATAAACTGTAGTTCACTACCAAGTAATTTATTATTATATTCATGGGGAAGCAATAAACACACAGGGAACATACAGTGCCTGGGAATGGGAGGTAATCAAGTTTGATCCAAAGCATAAGAGAGAATCCTTCAACAAATGTCTTAATTACAGTACTGTTCTTAATATGCTTACAGATTACCTAACCATAACCAAGGCATTCCTGAAATTTCCCTTTATAATTATTTACGACACATTTGGAAGAAAAAACTATTTTAAAACTTACTACAAATAAAACATATTATGATAGCATACATGGGTAAGACTAAGACACCAAAGGGCAAGACACACACTGTGTGACTAGTTAATGGCCTCAGTTGAACCAAAACATCATCCTAAGTTTCTTCCTCCTATGTGTGGCTGATTTCTGTATTAGATCATTTAGATATTTTATACAATTCTCACCAGATCACATGCAGCAGAGTAAGGCATTTTTAGCATTAGAATAAGAAGTTTATTTTGACATGATACATGGTTGTACAGAGGAACATAATAAACCATACCACGGGCGGGGATAGAACCCGCAATCAGAGTCTCAAAATATTATATAATAGTTGGGTGTACATGCCAAAAGCCCCTTTGTATGCAGAGCATTTTGGGCAAACTTAAAAATTAACTTAAGATTAGGAAGGCAATAATAGTTCATATGGTCATTAGATAAGTTACAGTGAGTACAAGAGAATTGAATATTCTATTAGGTAATGCTACATGGCTTTGATAAGTCTAGTAGAGAATAATTACACTATTGAATTAGTTTATTACAATAGAACAATTTAAAACAATTTACAATATGGTGTATTACAATTTAGTACTATTTAAAACAATGAAATTTACACATCTTAATTCTGTAGTAGTAGGTAAGTGGTTGGGCAATCCTCAGAACAATATGAGCAGCTTTTGAGTAACTGGTAGGTATTAGGTATGGTTTGTCTAGTTAATTTAAGGTGATGAGGTGATTTCTTAGTACTGTAGGTCCTTAAACTGATTTGCAGACAGGGGTCCTTTAGTGTGTTCTGGCAATGAATTCCAGATCTTTGGGCCCTTTATGTGCATAGCAGTTTTGCTTAGGGAGAGATGGACATGAGGGATATCAGAGAGTGACTTGTGTCTCGTATTATGGCTGTGTGTTCTGTTATAGTTATCAAGGAGTTTGAGAGGAGGATTTATATTTGAGTAGCGTTCTGTGTATGTAGTAGGCACAATAATAAGTGTGGATATTTTGTGTATTAAGCAAGTTAAGACTCTTGAAAAGTGGAGTGTGTTGTCTAATGCAGGAATTAGTAATCAAATGCACTGCAGCTTAAGGTGATTTGCTGTGGTTGATCCCCATGCACAAATACAAGTGAGGTAAGGGTAAATGAGAGTGGTACAAAGCTAGAAGAGCTGACTGGGGTACATAGTACCATATCTTTTAAAGGATGCCTACTGTTTTGAAGACTTTCTTGGAAATTTGGTGTATGTATGAAATATGAGACTGCAGTCAAGGTGGAGACCTAGAAATTTGACCTGTGTCTAGAAATGGGTAAACCATTTATCACTATGTTTAGCTGTACATTTGAAACTCTGTTTCCAAATAGCACAAAGTAGGTTTTGTCTAAATAGAGAATAAGTTTGTTGGTAGGCATCCAAGTAGATATTTTTAGCAGTTCGGCATTTACAGTGTCTGTTAGTAAAGTTGGGTTTGGGTGAGAGAAGACATAAGTAGTGTTATCTGAAAATGAAATGGGTTTAGGAGATTAGATGCATTTGGTAGGTCATTGATGTAAATGAGAGAAATGATGTAAATGGAGAAAAAATACACGTGGAAAGTAAGAACCTTTTTTCCAGTCACTAACTTTTTTTAATGCCTCAGCATTATTTGCACATGTATCCCTTTACCTAATACATTACAGTTGTGCAGTATATAAGGACCTCCAAGTGAAGGCATGGGATACACACATTGTATTATACGAAGATGATCAGGAGTATATTATAATCATGGTGAAGTAGTAAACCCAAAAGTCACAATACACCTGGCAACTACGTGCTGTAATCAGGTTTCAGAAAAGGGGGCAGCAACTCCAGTGCCTTGAATCAAGAACTTGTTGTGCCAACATCAAGGTACCCCACTCAAAGGCATCAAGGCTATAGAAAAAAGGGTGAAAAATGTTGAGTAGGCTACAAATATGTACCTTAAATCCGATGGACTGATGAGCTCCTAGAGTGATGCCCACACCCAGGTCGTTGTACCCAACAATCTCCACAAGTCTAGTATACTGTGTGTTATTGAGGCCCACACCACCGTACTCTACTGGAACCTGGCGAAAACCAAATGCTGCATTACACAGTAGTTTATCAAGCATTCCCCCCCCCCATGGCTTTATGGGATGAGGTACAATGCACGTGTAAGTATTATATACTATATAAAATAACTTGCAATTCAAGCTGAAAGTCAGAGTATGTATGTATCTTCACTTAATAAGGTACAGGACTTTTTTTTTTTTTTTAACAAGTTGGCCGTCTCCCACCAAGGCAGGGTGACCCAAAAAGAAAGAAAATCCCCAAAAAGAAAATACTTTCATCATTATTCAACACTTTCACCTCACTTATACATAATCACTGTTTTTGCAGAGGTACTCAGAACACAACAGTTTAGAAGCATATATGTATAAAGATACACAACATATCCCTCCAAACTGCTAATATCCCAAACCCTTCCTTTAGAGTGCAGGCAACACTGTACTTCCCATTTCCAAGACTCAAGTCTGGCTATATAAAAATAACTGGTTTCCCTGAATCCCTTCACTAAATATTAGTCTGTTCACACCCCAACAGCTCGTCAGGTCCCAAATACCATTCGTCTCCATTCACTCCTATTTAACATGCTCATGCATGCTTGCTGGAAGTCCAAGCCCCTCTCCCACAAAAACCTCCTTTACCCACTCCCTCCAACCTTTTCGAGGACGACCCCTACCCTGCCTTCTTTCCTCTACAGATTTATGTGCTCTCCATGTCATTCTACTTTGATCCATTCTCTCTAAATGACCAAACCACCTTAACAACCCCTCATCAGCCCTCTGACTAATACTTTTATTAACTCCACACCTCCTAATTTCCACATTCCGGATACTCTGCATAATATTTACACCGCACATTGCCCTTAGAAAGTACATCTCCACCACCTCCAACCGTCTCCTCGCTGCTGCATTTACAACCCAAGCTTCACACCCATATAAGAGTGTTGGTACCACTATACTTTCATACATTCCCTTCTTTGCCTCTATAGATAATGTTTTTTGTCTCCACATATACCTCAATGCACCACTCACCTTTTTCCTTCATCAATTCTATGGTTAACCTCATCCTTCATACATCCATCCGCTGGCACATCAACTCCCATATATCTGAAAACATTCACTTCTTCCATACTCCTCCTCTCCAATCTGATACTCAATTTTTTCATTTGATACCCTCATCACCTTACTCTTTTCTATGTTCACATTCAACTTTCTACCTTTACACACTTACAGGACTTATTATTAATTATTATTATATTCACAGGGGAACAATAAACCAGCAAGTCATAACACCTGGGAATAAAACATAGCACAAGTACAGAGAATGAAATCAACCTGTCAAACAGTTCAACTTTCCACTACACAACTCTGAATTAACAAACCCACAATTTGAAATTTTAACATTGCACACAAAATCAGAAGTGCCTGAAACATCCACTGATGTACTATTTAGGCTGTACAACTTGAACCCCATACTAACCTGAAGACCAAAAGCACCCAACTCTCGCAAACTCTGCATTGATTGCTCTTCTATCGCCTCTATGGAATCGTTCTTGGCTGCGTCGTTACACTCCTGCAAGAAATGACTGGTTTCAGAGACTGAGTGAAACCTTTCATTGACAGTCATCTATTACTAATTCTTGTCTAGGAAGGGGGAAGAAAATGCAGTTGTATAAACTGAACATCAAATATTATGAAAGAGTATCATTATGTTTATGAGGAAGCACTAAATTTTGATTTTGATAATTCTACAGATACACCCTCTTGATCAGCCTTTCTGTGCGACCAAACCATCTCACAAACCATCCGATCATTGAATTTTACCATTCCTACCACACAACATCTAATTTAAAATTTTCTTCACTCCACACTCTCTTCATAACATTCACATTGCACGCTGCTCTTCAACATATCTCTGCTGCCTCCAGCCTCCTCCTCACTGCAACATTCAAAGACCATACCTCATATCTGTACAAATGCTGGTACCATTATCCTCCAGTGTATTTACGTTTTTAGCATCCACTGATTGATAAACTTCTCTCTTTCCACAGATGCCTCTTCACTCTGCCTAGTTTTGTTTCCTTTGTTTATTCTATGATTCACCTCATCTTTCACATATCCATCTGTTCCCAAATACAGTGGTACCTCGGGATAAGATCAGCTGAAAACTTGAATAATTATGTAAGTGTATTTATGTAAGTGCTTTTGTAAGTGTATTTTTAGGGGTCTGAAACAGATTAATCTAATTTACATTATTCCTTATGGGAACAAATTCGTTCGGTATTGGCACTCGAACAGCCTTCTGGAACGAATTAAGTTCGTATCTCGAGGTATCACTGCAATTTCCAATCTGATGTTTTATTTTTCATTGCCTAGTTTTACTTACTATCATCACCCTCCTTTTTTAACATACAGTTTACCAATAAAAATAAGTCAGACATTTTTGGGTTATCCTAGGTAATTTACACTACGTATAATACGTAATTGTATACTTATGCGTACCTGTACCTACACATACATATTTACGAGTACTGTGATGAACTGGACTGCCAGTTCTGAAGTCTACTTGAAGACTATTTACAAGTATTGCATACTGTAATAACAATTATCCTTAAGCATGAAGCAAAGTACTCACTCGAAAGAACTTCTCTGTAGGTCCAATAAGCATTTCCAGTGTCTCTTTCTGCTCCTCGGTGAGTATATCTGGGAAAGGAATGGCTTGTTCAGTCACAGCTGACCCACGAAAAATATTCATGACAAAAGATTTTGATTCCTCTTTCTTGGTGATGTTGCGTTCCCTGTGTGAAACTCTTCCCGAGGATGCTGGTTCTGCCACTGTTGACTGCAGCCTGAGATATAGTACTTACATATAAATACACATGAATAAATGCTTTAATAATGTTCAGTATTTTACACAACCATTCACCATTTACATTAAAACTAAAATATAGTAACTGTTACGTTAATGTTAATTTTTAATTAGAAACTTTTATATAAAAAAATTATACATAACAATCCCTCACTTAAATATGACAGAATTAATGTTTCAAATGTTAAAGAAATGTTACTAAGCTTGCGAAATGAACATTGTCTAACATTTCCGTTATTTCATAAAGTGAAAACAAATTATGGACAAAACTTCGTTTCCTCAAGTCATAACAAATATTAAAGAGTCAAATATGTTAACCTTTGTTTTATTATTGATATGTTTTGTTCCGAGTCTCAGTATTACCAAGCTGCTTTTCAGGATTTAATGAGTTTTAAAGACTAAAGGTCAGCTATCATACACCTAGCAAACTGAATACCAACTTCTTTTAACATATATGGTAAATTTTGAGTCGAGGAATTAAGTAATTAGCCTTCATATAGGCCTCTGACTCTGAAACTTATGGAGACCATTATGTCAATACCTCATCCAAATCAATACTTTAAGGCTGATACAGAATTAATTGTCCTGATGGTTATATCCTTCTGATTATCACTCTACTTGATGATTCATAATACTATATAGAACATGTACCATTATAGGACTTCTGAAGATGTTATATACTGTATAGTACATGTCATGTTACATATACATATCACATGACCTCCGAAGAGGTTATGTACTGTATTTAGTGCTAATTGTCATGTTACATATACATATCACATGACCTCCGAAGAGGTTATGTACTGTATAGTACATGTCATGTTACATATACATATCACATGACCTCTGAAGAGGTTATGTACCATATAGTACATGTCATGTTACATATACATATCACATGACCTCCAAAGAGGTTATGTACCATATAGTACATGTCATGTTACATATACATATCACATGACCTCTGAAGAGGTTATGTACCATATAGTACATGTCATGTTACATATACATATCACATGACCTCTGAAGAGGTTATGTACCATATAGTACATGTCATGTTACATATACATATCACATGACCTCCAAAGAGGTTATGTACCATATAGTACATGTCATGTTACTTATACATATCACATGACCTCCAAAGAGGTTATGTACCATATAGTACATGTCATGTTACATATACATATCACATGACCTCTGAAGAGGTTATGTACCATATAGTACATGTCATGTTACATATACATATCACATGACCTCCAAAGAGGTTATGTACCATATAGTACATGTCATGTTACTTATACATATCACATGACCTCCAAAGAGGTTATGTACCATATAGTACATGTCATGTTACATATACATATCACATGACCTCCAAAGAGGTTATGTACCATATAGTACATGTCATGTTACATATACATATCACATGACCTCCAAAGAGGTTATGTACTGTATAGTACATGTCATGTTACATATACATATCACATGACCTCCAAAGAGGTTATGTACTGTATAGTACATGTTATGTTACATATACATATCACATGACCTCCAAAGAGGTTATGTACTGTATAGTGCATGTCATGTTACATATACATGTCACATGACATAACGATACTCCTTCTCAGTCTTCGTTAAAGGTAATTTTCTCTTTGTCTTTTTCCTTTAAATTATTTTTAAATGCTAAATGGAATATTTTATATGGAGTTTTGAGTAATACAACTGTATTTGGAGTCACGAGTCACATACGAAGACTTGTAGCTGTACAAGTTAAGGTACTGTATAAATTAAGAAGCTTGAAACCTTTAATCTTATTTAAAGAACTCAAATGTTACTCTAGGAGTGATTTTAAGGAATCTACACCATAAAACACATCACTGTGCAGAAATGACGAAAGTATTATACTTTTTCTCCCGAAATAATAAACACAGTATGTTGAACAGTTTATTAGGCAAAATGAGAACATGACTCAGCTTTAAAAAAGAAATGCAAAGCTCAGTGCACAAAAATGGAGACATCTAGCAGTAACAGCCTGGTTGATCAGGCTCTGATCCACCAGGAGGCCTGGTCACAGACCGGGCTGTGGGGGCGTTGACCCCCGGAACTCTCTCCAGGTAAACTCCAGGTCTTCTTTTCGCAGACAAGACCACTATTATCGTTACTCTCAGGTGTAATACTTATAAAAGCAAAATCATGGCTGCATGCAGTGACTATATACAGTTTAAATTCTATTACATTTGGAGTGAATGTAAGTGATAAGTTATGAGATAAGAGATAATGTAATCTTTGGTGTATTTTCACCCCTAGTTAAAAGGTGACTGAAGTGACCAACAAACAACAACCTGGAGTACCTGGAGAGGGTTTTGGGGGTCAACGCCTCCGCGGCTCGGTCTGATACCAGGCCTCATGGTGGATCAGACCCTGATCCACCACGAGGCTGTTACAGCTGGCCGCACGCAAACTGACGTAGGAACCACAGCCCGGTTGGTCAGGTACTGACTTTAGGTGCCTGACCAGTGCCTTCTTGAAGACAGTCAGGGGTCTATTGGTAATCCCCCTTATGTATGCTGGGAGGCAATTAAACATTATTATAATCAAGGGGGAAACGCTAAACCCGCAGGATTATACAGCGCCTGTGTGGGGGGGGATGTGGAAGGTATTCAGGCTTAATTCAGGGAACTGGAGCACAGATCCAGTTCCCACAATCAAGAACCCCACACCAGCATCAAGGAACCTTCCTTGAGGAGAGGCAGTTGAACAGTCTTGGTCCCCTGGCACTTGTGTTGTCTCTCGGTGTACTCGTGGCACCTCTGCTTGTCATCGGGGGGATGTTGCATCTCCTGCCAAGTCTTTGGCTTTCACAGGGAGTGATTTTCGTGTGCAAGTTTAGTATTAATCCCTCTAGGATTTTCCAAGTGTATATTATCATGTATCTCTCTCGCCTGTGTTCCAGGGAATACAGACCAAGGACCTTCAACCGTTCCCAGTAATTTAGGTGCCTTATCGTACTTGTGTGTGACATGAAAGTTCTTTGTACACTCTCCAGGTCTGCAATGTCGCAGCCTTGAAGGGGCAGTTAAGTGTATATCAATATTCCAACGTAGATATTATTATTATTATAATCAAAAAGAAGCGCTAAGCCACAAGGGCTATACAGCTCCAACGTAGAGAGAACAAGCAATTTGAAGAGAATAATCATGAACTTACAATCCCTAGTTTTGAAGGTTCTCATTATCCATCCTATCATTATCCTGGTAGACGAGGTAGATATACTGTTGTGGTCTTTGAAGGCGAGATCCTCTTACATTATCACTCCCAGGTCCTTCACATTACTTTTAGCCCTATTATATAATACGAATTTGTCATATATCCTGAAATATTCAAATGGCTTCAGGAAGAAAATCAAATTACTCTTCCACGAAGCCTTATTATCCACTTCTCAGAGGTTATGGATCTCAAAATTTATTTTACCCCATCAAAAAAAAAGGTGAAAGTATTAAGAAAAACAGCTGATATCCCGTGACTAAATTATATCCTTATAAACCCATTTATACCTCCCCTTCCCTATGTTAAAATATCCCTGGATACACAGGTATACATACCTTGATGCCGCCGGGGCCATGTCCATAGCCAGGTTGATCCTGGAGAGTCCCCAGAGAAGTTTATTATAGCGCATCATGATGGTACGTCTCCCCTCTCTCGTCTCTCACACTCTACTGAGTCATTGTTATTGTTAACACTGACACCTTACACTCGCTACACTTAGCATAACTCGCTATATTACCTTTAATATGTACCTATATCCAACATAAGAAGTCTCTATATTTAACAAAAGTAGCATAAGAAGTCTCTAAATTTAACAGAAGTAGCATAAGAAGTCTCTAAATTTAACAGAAGTAGCATAAGAAGTCTCTAAATTTAACAAAAGTAGCATAAGAAGTCTAAATTTAACAAAAGTAACATAAGAAGTCTCTAAATTTAACAGTAGCATAAGAAGTCTCTAAATTTAACAGAAGTAGCATAAGAAGTCTCTAAATTTAACAAAAGTAACATAAGAAGTCTCTAAATTTAACAAAAGTAACATAAGAAGTCTCTAAATTTAACAGTAGCATAAGAAGTCTCTAAATTTAACAAAAGTAGCATAAGAAGTCTAAATTTAACAAAAGTAACATAAGAAGTCTCTAAATTTAACAAAAGTAGCATAAGAAGTCTCTAAATTTAACAAAAGTAACATAAGAAGTCTCTAAATTCAACAAAAGTAGCATAAGAAGTCTCTAAATTCTATTCGGGTAATCACTGTGGCTTTGGACAGGCACATAAAATCAGTACCTGATCAGTCAGGCTGTGGTTCTCTACGTCGGTTTATGTGCAGCCAACAGTAACAGCCTGGTTGATCAGGTCATGATCCACCATGAGGCCTGGTCACAGACCGGGCCTCGGGGGCGTTGACCCCCTAAACCCTCTCCAGCTATTGTTTTACAACTGCTATAAGGATATGTAGATCCAGTCCATTGTTTGAGATCAGATTTATTGCAACATTGCATTAAAAAATACTTTGTTGCAGGAGTAGTTACAAAAATGAAGGCGAGTGACTTCTTGTATAGTTAACTTGGGTGTTGCTATTACTGTAAGTTGATCCTGTTAGTGTAAATAAATCATGCCCCGTTGCCTGGTGGCTAAATTCATCGCTTCACACGACGAGGTCCGGGTTCGATTCCCAGTGAGGGTAGAAACATTGGACGTGTTTCCTTACACTGGTTGTCTATGCTCACCCATTAATATAATGGGTACCTGGGTGTTAGTGGACTGGTGGGGGTCACATCCTGGGTGTTAGTGGACTGGTGTGGGTCACATCCTGGGCGTTAGTGGACTGGTGTGGGTCACATCCTGGGTGTTAGTGGACTGGTGTGGGTCACATCCTGGGTGTTAGTGGACTGGTGTGGGTCACATCCTGGGTGTTAGTGGACTGGTGTGGGTCACATCCTGGGTGTTAGTGGACTGGTGTGGGTCACATCCTGGGTGTTAGTGGACTGGTGTGGGTCACATCCTGGGTGTTAGTGGACTGGTGTGGGTCACATCCTGGGTGTTAGTGGACTGGTGTGGGTCACATCCTGGGTGTTAGTGGACTGGTGTGGGTCACATCCTGGTGTTAGTGGACTGGTGTGGGTCACATCCTGGGTGTTAGTGGACTGGTGTGGGTCACATCCTGGGTGTTAGTGGACTGGTGTGGGTCACATCCTGGGTGTTAGTGGACTGGTGTGGGTCACATCCTGGGTGTTAGTGGACTGGTGTGGGTCACATCCTGGGTGTTAGTGGACTGGTGTGGGTCACATCCTGGGTGTTAGTGGACTGGTGTGGGTCCATCCTGGGTGTTAGTGGACTGGTGTGGGTCACATCCTGGGTGTTATGGATGTGGGACTAGGTGTGGGTCACATCCTGGGTGTTAGTGGACTGGTGTGGGTCACATCCTGGGTGTTAGTGGACTGGTGTGGGTCACATCCTGGGACAAAACTGACCTAATTTACGGGAAATACTCAACATAACAAGGTACTTTCTATATAGTAATATGTCACTGATGTCAGCTATGGTCTGTATACCTTGTACATGTACTAAATGAAGATATTATATTATTATCATATATTATATATACAGCTAAATCTAGCGGCAACACCGCTGAACTGGCAACACTGTCACTCGTGCTTCTCAAAATAAACTAATGAATTATGTAAATAAAATTATCGTACTTGAAGCTTCAATATTGTTGTACTTCTTGTGAGTAATCGTACCAGTGTCCTCTATATCATTTATAATGGGATTAATGCAAGATTTTCTTCGGATTTTTAACCCCGGAGGGTTAGCCACCCAGGATAACCCAAGAAAGTCAGTCATCGAGGACTGTCTGTCTTATTTCCATTGTTGTCCTTCAATCTTGTCCCCCAGGATGCCACCCACACCAGTCTACTAACACCCAGGTACCTACTTGCTGCTAGGTGAACAGGACAACAGGTGTAAAGAAACGTGTCGAAATGTTTCCACCCGCCGGGAATCGAACCCGGGCCCTCCGAGTGTGAAGCGAGAACTTTGCCAGCCAGGACTCCACAATACATTGTTAGTACTCCACAATACATTGTTAGTACTCCGCAATACATTGTTAGTACTCCACAATATGTTAGTACTCCACAATATGTTAGTACTCCACAATATGTTAGTACTCCGCAATACATTGTTAGTACTCCACAATATGTTAGTACTCCACAATATGTTAGTACTCCACAATATGCAGAACTCCACAATACATTGTTAGTACTCCAAAAATACATTGTTAGTACTCCCAAATGTTAGTACTCCCACAAACATTTTTTAGTACTCCACAACACATTGTTAGTACTCCACAATATGTTAGTACTCCACAATACATTGTTAGTACTCCACAATACATTGTTAGTACTCCACAATATGTTAGTACTCCACAATACATTGTTAGTACTCCACAATACATTGTTAGTACTCCACAATATGTTAGTACTCCACAATACATTGTTAGTACTCCACAATACATTGTTAGTACTCCACAATATGTTAGTACTCCACAATACATTGTTAGTACTCCACAATACATTGTTAGTACTCCACAATACATTGTTAGTACTCCACAATACATTGTTAGTACTCCACAATATGTTAGTACTCCACAATACATTGTTAGTACTCCACAATACATTGTTAGTACTCCACAATACATTGTTAGTACTCCACAATACATTGTTAGTACTCCACAATACATTGTTAGTACTCCACAATACATTGTTAGTACTCCACAATACATTGTTAGTACTCCACAATACATTGTTATACTCCCACAATACATTGTTAGTACTCCACAATACATTGTTAGTACTCCACAATACATTGTTAGTACTCCACAATACATTGTTAGTACTCCACAATATGTTAGTACTCCACAATACATTGTTAGTACTCCACAATACATTGTTAGTACTCCACAATACAATGTTAGTACTCCCAATATGTTAGGACTCCACAATACATTGTTAGTACTCCACAATACATTGTTAGGACTCCACAAAACATTGTTAGAAACTCCACAATATTAGTTACTCCACAATATATGTTATACTCCACAATACATTTTAGTACTCCACAATACATTGTTAGTACTCCACAATACATTGTTAGTACTCCCAATGTGTTAGTACTCCACAATACATTGTTAGTACTCCCAATATGTTAGTACTCCACAATACATTGTTAGTACTCCCAATATGTTAGGACTCCACAATACATTGTTATACACCAAAAATATGTTGGGATCCCACAATACATTATTAGTACTCCACAATGTTAGTACTCCACAATACATTATTAGTACTCCACAATGTTAGTACTCCACAATATGTTAGGACTCCACAATACATTGTTAGTACTCCACAATATGTTAGGACTTCACAATACATTATTAGTACTCCACAATGTTAGTACTCCACAATGTTAGTACTCCACAATGTTAGTACTCCACAATGTTAGTACTCCACAATATGTTAGGACTCCACAACACATTGTTAGTACTCCCCAATATGTTAGGACTCCACAATATGCTAGTACTCCACAATATAATAATAATAATCTTTATTTACTACAAGTACATGTACAAGGTATACAGTCCTAGCTGACATCAATAACATACTACTACATAGAAAGCCACTTGTTATGCTGAGCATCTCGGGCAAATTAGGTCAGTGTCCCAGGATGCGACCCACACCAGTCCACTAACACCCAGGTACCCATTTTACTGATGGGGAACATAGACAACAGGTGGAAAGAAACACGCCCAATGTTTCTACTCTGGCTGGGAATCGAACCCAGGCCCTCACCGTGTGAAGCGAGAGCGTTAACCACCAGGCCACCAGTATGATCCGAGGAACAAGTCGCTCGTGTGCAATAACAAATGAACCCATTATAGTACACGTACAGTACCTGGTTATAGACCGGGCCAGGGGGGCGCTGACCCCTGAAACATCCTCCAGGTATACCTTATATCTCACTGCAGTGACATTGATTTGTGTAATTAATGGTGCCATTTTTAATTTATTATTGATAATTTTTTTTATTTATACTTTGTTACCTGGAGGGTGTTTCGGGGGTCAGCGCCCCCGCTGCCCGGTCCATGACCAGGCCTGGTGGTGGATCAGGACCTGATCGACCAGGCTGTTACTGCTGGCCACAGACACCAACGTTGGAACCACATTATTATAATCATGGGAGAGCGATAAACCCGTAGGATTATACAGCGCATGTGGGGAGATGGAGGGTATTCAGGCTCAATTCAGGGTACCCGAGCACAGATCCAATTCCCTAGACCAAGAGCCTCTCAATAGCATCAAGGAACCTCTCTTGAGGGGCGTAGGAACTACAGCCTGGCTGGTCAGGTACCTAGAGTTTACCTAGAGATAAGGACCTGCCTCGCATGAGCCAGTAGGCCTTCTACAGTGTTCCTCCATTCTTATGTTCTTATGACATTCCTCAGGTCACGTGCGTCACATCTCACTCTCCGCCTATATATATATAATGTCTTTTTACCTCTGTGTGTTAGAAGTGATCAAGGTCCCAGGACCGAAACGTTTTCTAATAAATATGTTATAGTGTTTGCTTACGTGTCTTTCTAAACCACCTAGAGAGAGTTCCGGGGGTGAACGCCCCCGCGGCCCGGTCTGTGACCAGGCCTCCTGGTGGATGAGACCCTGATCTACCAGGATGTTACTGCTGGCTGCACGCAAACCAACGTACGAGCCACAGCCCGGCTGGTCAGGAACCGACATTAGGTGCTTGTCCAGTGCCAGCTTGAAGACTGCCAGGGGTCTGTTGGTAATCCCCCTTATGTATGCTGGGAGGCAGTTGAACCGACTTAGGTGTCTGTCCAGGTCGCTCTTAAAGACAGCCAGGAGTTTATTAGTAACCCCTCATGTATATGCTGGGAGGCAGTTGAACAGTCCTGGGCCCCTGACAATTACTGCACTCATGGGGCCCTACTTTTCACTGGGAGATGTTGCATCACCTGCCCAGTCTTTTACTTTCATAAAGATTATTATTATTATTATAATCAAGGGGGAAGCGCTAAACCCGGAGGATTATACAGCGCCTGGGGGGGGGATGTGGAAGGCATTCAGGCTTAATTCGGGGAACTGGAGCACAGATCCAATTCCCTAAATCAAGAGCCCCTCACCAACATCAAGGAACCTTCCTTAAGGGGACTTTCATAAAGAACGTATAAAAGTGTTTCTGTCAATTTAATTCCACTTCTATATAATATATCTGCATATAAGACATCAATATAACTCAAGAGATAATAGAAAGTACTATTAATCACCTCATCTTTATAATTATAAGAGCACTGTTTAAGTAAATGTGTTTAGGGAAGCTTTAAACACACTTACTGAGCACTTAAAGGCACTTAACATAGTGTTATGTGTAAACATTACACTTGGAAGCATCTTAACACCATCTTACAAAAAATATTTCACAAACCTTTGTATGAAGCAATGTTTTAGTTAAAAATAAATGGCACATTTTGTATTTGTGGTAATATATATTCTTCAGTGGAAGCCAAAATTATTTAATTATATGGGAGGGACTGTCAGTGGAATGAGAATATTTAGTCAATGGTATGAATCATGTCAGTGGGATGGGAGGGATCTCCAGTCAGTGGAATTAGAGAAATCTCCAGTCAGTGGAATGATATTTAGTCAATGGTATGAATCTTGTCAGTGGGATAGGAGGGATCTCCAGTCAGTAACAAGTCTCCAGTCAGTGAACTGAGAGAAATATGTCAGTGGAATGAGAAAAATCTCCAATCAGTGGGATGAGAGACATTTCCAGTCAGTGGAATGAGAGAAATCTCCAGTCAGTGGAATGAGAATATTTAGTCAATGGTATGAATCATGTCAGTGGGATAGGAGGGATCTCCAGTCAGTAACAAGTCTCCAGTCAGTGAACTGAGAGAAATATGTCAGTGGAATGAGTAAAATTCCCAGTCAGTGGGATGAAAGAAATTTCCAGTCAGTGGAATGAGAGAAATCTCCAGTCAGTGGAATGAGAGAAATCTCCAGTCAGTAGAATAAGAAATTGCCTATCTCCATACACTGGAATATGAGACAGTTTATCTTAAAAGCAAAAGAGGGTAAATTTCTACATTATCAAATGACCTGGTGCCATAAGTAGCATATCAGTGACACTGGAACCATTGCCAGCATCACCAATGAGCAATGGTACCATTGTCACAGTACCAGTAACAACAGTACCACTGACAATAGTAATAACAGCAATGGTTCCACTACCAGTATGGTAATGGAATCACTAGCTCTTACACCAATAATTAATGTGGTAATACATCAATATACTAATATCAAGAATACTTTAGTCCCTAATGCAGAAATTAAAGTCAACTTTCAATGTATATATATACACAGACATGCATCTCTCGGAGTATACATCCTGTGTTGATCACATAATTATCAACTCAATATAGGCCATGTGTATGAAAACTTTGTATACAATCATAAACATGGTCATACACACCAATTTAGTGTATAATAAATTCTTACATAAAGTCATACACCGGCCTATTACGTTTTACTCTTCAAAACTAAAAATAAGAAATTTTCTGGGGAAACTCGACTAAATTGTAACTATAAAAAATGGGAGGGGAAACTATCACATTTATTAGATCAAGACTTACACACACGAGTTAAAGGAATATATGAGGATAATACCAATTGTTTCAGAGTTACTTAACTGCCTTACTAGGATTTAGAAGGCTAAATCCTGTTAGACTGAAGCACCCAGAAAGTCTGGACAGTTGAATAACACTGGAACAACTGGGATGATACAGGAGAGAGAGAGAGAGAGAGATAGAGAGGAGAGGATAGAGAAGGGAAAAAATCAAAAAAAAGGGGACAGAGACAGAGAGACAGAGACAGAGAGACAGAGAGACAGAGAGACAGAGAGAGAGACAGAGGAGGGGGACAGAGAGAGACTCACAAAACATTTTTTTTCTGAGAATTGTACTGCAAATCTACATAAAAAATAAAGAATTGATTCAGCCTTGTTTTCTTCTCCTGATGACGGTGATCAACTTCTCCAGCAGAAGACAACTTCCATTTCCTGTAGAAGGTGATCTATTTCTCCTGCAGAAGACAATCTATTTTCCTTGTAAAAGGTGATCTATATCTCCTGCAGGAGAAGGTCTGTCTGTTTCAATACTTCCTGCCAAGCCTCGTCCACATCTTGTGGTTCTGTCAGTCGGGAACACACACAAACCTGCCAAGGTGGAAACATGTTAACTAAATTTATACTTTTATTTTTTTTTTTTTTTTTTTTTTTTTTACAAAATAAGTCGGAACACCCCATCCCATGGCAAGGGTTTTATCCAAAGGAGGAAGGCAAATCCCCCCAAAAGAAAATATTTCCCTATTAACTATATAAAAACTTTCACCACATCAGAACATATTTTTCAATTATTTTGCAGATTTGCATAATATTTACAAGTCTTAGTTTGGCCAGTACAAATTTATAAAGATACAGAAAATATCACCTTTCCCAAACTGGGCAATATCCTAAACTCCTTTAAAGTGAGGAGCATAGAATCCAAAATTTCCCTAGGAGGAGACAACAAGGGCCGACTAAAATAAAATAACCGGTTTAACTGAATACCTTCCTAATAATTTACCTGCTCATTTTTCTGTAACATGATTCGTTAGGAACGTAAACATTTCGTTGGTCCATTCAAACCTATTAACAGTTATCGCACGGTAGGGAAGTCAGCCTTCCCTTTCCACAAAACCCCTTTCACCCCCTCTTGAAACCTTTCAGACTGACCTAAACCCAGGTTCCTTTCCCTGACTATAGATATAGCTTTCCATTGGTATGTCTACTTTAATCATTTCCCCTAATAAATGAACCCAAACACATGTTGAGAGAAATAAATGATCAGCCTTGAATAAAATACAGTTTATTTTAATACACTTGTCCTAATTTATAAATTAGAATTTATATATATTTATTTAACACCCATAATTGATCACAAAATTGGATTCTCCAGTGCCTTTACAATCCCTCCCACATCATGTGGTGCATTTAACGTACCAAGGGGTTCACCAACCATATAAGAATTTTGGTCTCTATTATTTATACAGTTTCCCCTTTATTAAAAGGCTCCATATCATAATGTTTTTTGTTTGATCCCCCTATACCTCAACTAGCAACCAACTACTTATTTTTTCCTCATCAAATTCTGTGAATTAACCCACATCTTCATAAATATGCCACACGTGTAAATATGCCAAGTATCTAAAAATATTCACCTTTTTCCAAATACTCCTTCCATTTGATAATCAATTTTCTTATAAATCATTGACACCCTCATCACCTTACTCTTTTTATTTCACTTTCAACTTTCTACCTTTCACACATCCCAAACTCATCCACTAACCTTGCAATTTTTTTTTAGAATCTCCCACTACTACTTTTATATATTATATTGAACTGACACATGTTGAAACTTAATATTTTTTAGTGCAAATTACATTTACAGGAAAACACCAAAAACCCATACGTGCTAATTAGATTTGACCGAGGAAGGGGGGTGGTCGAATCCCCCCACTTTTTAAATTTTTTTTCTAATTAAAACTATCAAAAAAACTTGGCCCCAACATCTCATTGAAAAAAATTTTTTTTAATTACTAAATAAAATGTCTGATTTTGGGCAAATTTTTTTTTGACAGGAGTCCTTTCCCCCTTTGTTTTGGCCCGAAACGAAAATTTTCAAAATTTTCGAGATACAGAAAAAATTTTTGGTTTGGGATACGCCAATTCTAAGGGATATTTATTCTTGTGAATTTTTTAAATTTTATTGTTGGGGAGCCATAGAACCCAAAAAAAATAAAGTCCTCAAATAGGAGGACCCGCCCAACAATGGTAACAAAACGAAAATATAAAACTTTTGTGAGGTTTCTGAAGTGACCTGACCTGAAAATTCCGATCATTTTATTTCTGTTATTACTATTTTTGGAAGTTTTAAATTTGTTGGGGTCATACAAAACCTGGGAAATGGGAGATAATCAGATTTGATCCAAGGAAGGGAAGGGTAGCTCTAATTTCTTAGAAAAAACACCCTTCACCATCACTCTTGAGGAGTGACCTGGCAGAATCTGACCTGAACTGACCTGAGGAAATAAGTGTCCTTGATCTTGGCTGGCACTAGGTGGATGACCCCTCCAGCATTCAAATTCTTGAGTAATGTCTCATTAACCTCATTACTCCTCTGCAAAGGTCAGAATTTATTAGTTGAACATACACATGGTTGAGAAAAATAAATGAATCAGGCTTAATAAAAAAAATAGTTTAAATTTTAATATATTGGTTTAGGATTATATAAATTAGATTAATTTATAATTAAATTTTGGAAGAATTTAATCTACGTTTTACAAATAAGATTCACAAAATTTGGGCTATGTTTGACCAGTCCTTGACCATCCCACCCACATCATGACTGGTGTAATGTCAGACGTGACAGTGAGGTGATGTCCCAACCTTATATAGAATTCTGTTCTATTATTATTACAGGTCCTTGATAATGTGAGAAATGGCGAAAGTGCCTGGAATATCACTTTTTTCACAGTGGTTGTTTTGCATATTGGTATCACCTATTTACTCTGAACTTATTGCAACAAAAAGTCTGTATATACATCTCGTTTATACAGACAGACACTTCTGTGTATATATATACTCACACACTTGTCTTGGCATATCTGTTTATATATGCCAAGGGGTGTATATATATGCCAAGAGATGTATATATTTGTCGAGATATATACACACCTCTTGGCAAATATACACATCTTTTGTCGTATACACAGATACAACCTTCTTGTTATACACAGATATATATACCTCTCATTATATTTACCTTCAGTAGAAACAAATCTCCTCACCTTCTTAAGTCGGAAGCAGACTAAGCCAAGTGTAACAGGGGCAATGATTTCAAAACGGGGATCCTTCTTGACGCGAGTCTCGAACTGGTGGGCCAAATCCACCTGCGAACTCACAAGTGGAAAAGCTTGAGAAAAATATCTTTACTCTCGACTATTTTTGTTATTACTATGAGACATATTAATAAGAACTGTGATTGTTAACACTGGTATTATTACTGCTGGTGACAATAATGTCATTATTATTAATTCCATAAGAAGTTACACTTAATTTTGGCACACTATTATCATAATTAATACGACTATTATCACTGCAGTCACCACCACCACTATCACAACGATCATCACAAGTCACTACCTCACCATTCACCACTACATTCACAACAATTACCACCACAATCACCTGCTTCCTGATGTGGGCTTGTAATCCATGCTTGCCATAAAGTCTCATCACAAACCACAGCTTCAAGGACCTGAACCGTCGACTCAGAGGAATCTGCCAGTGCTGTCAACCAGAGGTTTGTGTTATACATAGATGTCGATGCCATTATATCTTTGAAGAGCTTATAATTTGATGGAGAGAGAGTGAGAGATACCTACCCTATAGTCAGGTACTTGTCCCTGTTGCTCGTGTTTGAGGTAGAGAGGGTCAACATTGAAAGCCTCTACCACCTCACTGGCATCCTTTATCCTATGGGAATAATAATACATAATTCATGGTAAGCGCTAAAACTATGCGGGTCATTCAGTGCAAGACGTGATGGAGGCTTGGTCCTCCGTCTGCTGAGCATGTGGCAGACACTATATATAGAAAAGTGCTTTAATAATGGTTATTTTATTATTATTATTATTGTTTAAGTCTCTGATCCGGAAGGTTCATACATCACTGGGTAATGGAAGGTAATCTGGTTTGATACAAGGAGAGAGGAAAGGTTACTTTAATTCTTGAAATCAAGAGCTCTTCAGCAACATAAAGTCATCATGCCTTCAAGAGTTTCAACACCTAAAACTCTTTGCTATGCAACATCTTGATTTGAGAGATGTTTGGCACACCAGCAGCTTATCAATATCCAGGTGCTGCACATTACATATTATCCATTATCTACTCACCACATGGCCGAGCAGTCAAAGTTGACCAGCAGCCACTTGTGGGGGTTGAAATTAAAGCTGTCAGCTAACTCCACTCCGTCCATCAGATAGCGGAACTCCTCACACACCATAGCGGACCCTGGTACATGCAAATTAACGGTGGACACTAGTGCAAAGTATAATGCTCTGAATAACTATAAGTTGTCAACATGCACTCAAGCGTAACTCACTTTTGAATTAACAATATAACATGTTGAAATAAACTTGTATCTGTATTAAAATTACGAGGCAGACTATAACTCAAGTTACAAAGGAAATCTACATCTGTATTACGTGACTCTTAGGGTCTGTTTACATGTCACACTCGGCCTCATTACTGGACACCCTAGGTCTAAATTTTGCTGTATTTACCGGCATAGGCAGCGTCGACATGGCACCACAGACCAAATTCTTGCGCGACTTCCCCGATCTCGCGAAGGTTATCGAAGGAGCAGGCTGGAGTAGCTCCCATTGTTCCCACTACCTGAGTTAGAGAAACACAAGTGTCATGATGGTGTGTAGCGGGTCATAGTAGTACATTATTATTATAATCAAAAAGAAGGGTCATAGTAGTGATGTAGTAGGCATACTGAAAGTACAACAGGCATAGGGTCATGCAAATTACCCTCCACATATACCCTTCTCAGTCGCTGGCTCTGTAAGTTTATTAAAGCACCGGTACATATAAATACATGTCTAGGATAAAGATGGTAACTGCCAAGTAATAGTAATTCCTGATCTCTTCATATTAAACCTTCGAAGCTGGTGTAGGTACGGAACTCATAGTGGAAAGCTTGAGGATATCCTGGTCATCCTACTGAAGCTTCTCAAGTCAGGCTCACACAGTTCTTCACTTGCTGTACAAAACTCGTCCTCTTGTTATGGAATATGACTGGGAAACGTAATTTAGGTGTTTAGTTTGATCATTTTATTACGCCCACCAAACCCATCGTGTGGGTTAGTTTAATATCTTGATTATGCATCCCCATATCCATGGTGTGGAGGGTTGTCAAAAGATTACAGATATATATAATGAGTCCACGGACTGGGCCCCAAAGTTTTGAGAGCTAAACAAGTACAGTGGTAATGAACTATTTATATGTTTATATCTGGTTACAAATGTAACGGTTTATTTATAAAGACATGACTGAATTCACACACACACACACACACACACACACACACACACACACACGCACAAATATACACAAGTTTAAGTGGTACACAAATAACCCGCACATAAAAGAGAGAAGCTTACGACGACTTTGTAAATGGTCCAAGTCGGACCGAAACGTCGTCGTAAGCTTCTCTCTTTTATGTGCGGGTTATTTGTGTATCGTTCCAGTCACGGTATTGTGCCTTTTTTGTTATTTAAGTTTAAGTGGTAATGCATTATTTACAGTGGGTAAAGTCTGGGTATTTTTCCAGATGGTTAGTAATATACCACTGTGGATGAAATACGTGTGGGCGGCAGCTAGATCAGTCACGTAATGTGCCCAGAGACTAGACCCCAAGAAAGAAAACCAGCTTGTATTTACACAATGTAACCATCATGTAGAGTACATATAAACAGCGCATATATTATTTAATGTCTTCTCCAATAAGTACATCCTATCACTGTTGATAATGTAACACTCGCCTCTTTCTTCCTTAATCCAAAACATTATTAATCTTAGAGTCATATTTATGCCAACTTTTTCATTCTTCAATTTTGCCTACTTTAATGTAAGTGTCGATGAATAATGTATGTTTTTAAATTTCCTCTTAGATAGTTATTAGAGAAATTGAAAACTACAGACATGGGTGACCAGATCAATACATCACTGGTGGGCATCTGGCAACACTGTGCTGGGGGATGCTGGGAGAGATTGATCTGCATCACTCAATATACCAGAAAATCGCCAATAAAACTTCCAGAAAGACAGATATAAGAAACATGAAAAAAGGGTATACAGACAGGCTGGAGAACAGATATACACTTTATATAGAGTATGGAAAAGAACCACAGTGAAAATTGTGCAATTTCACTATTTTTCTGTTAATTTTGCATATTCTGATAACACCTGTTTACTGTGATCTTACTGCATAAAGAGAATATGCATTTAGATAATTGACAGGTATTATACACACACACACACACACACACACTCAGAAAGTATACCATCACACACAGCTAAACAGATGCTTGGAACTGGACTCATGCAACAATGAGTACACAAAGGGACTGGCAGGACAGACCAGGACAATAAAGGTAGTAGTACGTGGGTATACTGAAAGACCAGGACAATAAAGGCAGTAGTAAGTGGGTATACTGAAAGACCAGGACAATAAAGGTAGCAGTACGTGGGTATACTAAAAGACCGGGACAATAAAAGTAACAGTACGAGGGTATACTAAAAGACTGGGACAATAAAGGTAGCAGTACGTGGGTATACTAAAAGACCAGGACAATAAAGGTAGCAGTACGTGGGTATACTAAAAGGCCAGGACAATAAAGGTAGCAGTACGTGGGTATATTAAAAGACCAGGACAATAAAGGTAGCAGTACGTGGGTATACTAAAAGACCAGGACAATCAAGGTAGCAGTACGTGGGTATACTAAAAGACCGGGACAATAAAGGTAGCAGTACGTGGGTATACTAAAAGACCAGGACAATAAAGGTAGCAGTACGTGGGTATACTAAAAGACCAGGACAATAAAGGTAGCAGTACGTGGGTATATTAAAAGCCCAGGACAATGAAGGTAGCAGTACGTGGGTATACTATAAGACCAGGACAATAAAGATAGTAGTACGTGGGTATACTAAAAGACCAGGACAATAAAGATAGCAGTACGTGGGTATACTAAAAGACCAGGACAATAAAGATAGCAGTACGTGGGTATACTGAAACACTTGAACAATAAAGGTTAATAAACTCAAAGAATAACTTGCAATAACAAGGCTGGACTGACTCACAATTAATCCACAAACTCGAAATAAAAACTGAACGTTTCTGTTGGTCCTTGACCACTAATAGGTTCTTAAGTACATTACAATGATGGACCAAGCCCAATATCCGCCATTTTTGTTGTACAATTGTGAGTTTGTCAGGTCGAAGAGCATATATCATTTTCAAGAATGCTGGGATGAGCCTCCCCCCCCCTCACTCAAATCCCCAAAATAAAATAAGCACTCACAAAAAACGGAATAAGACCCAGCGCCTTATCCTTGAGTATGGCTTCACGTAGTTGAGGGCCACGCATGGCAAAGTTGTCATCAGAAGCCACCTGGCGCATCTTCACTCCTGCCATCATTCCTGCTCTCTCCACGGACGAGTGTGCCTGGTCTGTAGGACAAAGCAGAAGGATGAGAGGCTTGCAGAGGAAGAGACAGAGATGTTAAGAGTAATGTAGATAAAGTGTCACAAAAGATGGGACGATATAGAGGGAAAGTAAATATTAATTAAACATTAGAAATAATCCTGATTTGTTACCAATATAAGAAAAGTACCAATAATAGGAAAGTACAGTGTCTGCACTCGGAAGGAGGGATGGGATGTGTGGATCCTGCCTCCATTACAACACCCTCCAGATTATTTCATTCCCTGACAACCCTATGACTGAAGAAATACTTCCTAACATCCCTGTACCTCGTCTGAGTTTTCAACTTCCAGTTGTAACCCCTTGTTGCTGTTTTCCATCTCTGAAACATCCTGTCCCAATCCACCTTTACAATTCCTCTCAGTATTTTATATGTCATTGTCTTGTCCTGTGTGTGTACTCACCAATATGTGGTCGCAGGGGTCGATTTACAGCTCTTGGCCATGCCTTCGTTAGTCGCTACTAGACCCACTCTTTCCAACCTACAAGAGCCACTGTACCTCTTCTTCAAGCTATGTATGGATCCCTGTGTATATTTGTGGGTGTTCCCCGCACTCACCAGAACCATAGCCAACCAGGGCAGCAGCAGCGTTGTCCGCCATATATGGCTTGTCTTTCTTCACTTGTTTCAGCATCTTGGTCTTAGCTGATAACATGGCCACCAATGTCGCTTCACTGGCCGTTCCCTGTATACACAAGAAATAAGTTGTACCACAAATAATAACCTTTATACAGCCTGTATATTGCTAACTAAAAATATATTATTATTATATTCACAGGGAAGCACTAAATCCATAGGGGTCATAGAGCGCCTGAAATTTAATGGACAGCGATGAATAATTTGTAGATTTATTTTTCGTTTTCGATTAATGTATTATCTTTAAATCCGCTCGTGTGTTGCAACACAAAATTCTATGAACAATCCTGTCTCAACACACCACTGTGTCACAAAATGTTATTTAGCTGTGAACAGTGTGTTGCCTCAACACAATTTTGTGTGTTGGGGTGCTCACCTGTATCACACCACCACCCTTGCCTCCTGAAGCAGCCAGGAACTGACTAGGAAGGTCAAGCAGCTGTCCCAGCCAGTCCAACATGACTACCTCCAGCTCAGTACATGCCGGCGACGATATCTGCAAGGATAAAACAGGTGAACACCAGAGTTAAACAGGGAAGGAAAACAGATAAATGGGAATAACAGGTGAGACCAGTGAGAGAACAGGAGACAATACCTTGACCACACTTTTTTCTACTCATCCTGACACACACACATTCATTTTCATGAATGCAATACTATAATTATATTAAGACATAAACCCGTATGGATTACACAAAACTGTGTAGTAATACTAGTGTTTACTTAATACTAACAGTCACTTAACACTAGCTCACTTAATGTTAATTATAGTTTGTCATCTTACATAATTTTTCTTGTATTAACGGGGAACCACTAAGATTGTAGGGCAGGTCATTGTTTGGGAATGAGTTTGATCCAAGGAAAGAGAGGACAGCTCCTTGGATCAACGATATTTATTTTTCGTCTTAAAAAACAAATCTTATAAGACTTGTATATAATATGACTTATAAGACTTGTATATAATATGACTTACAAGACTTGTATATAATATGACTTATTATCTTGTCGGTTATTATATTCAACAGCACTTTCATCTGGCGGACATAGATGTATATTAACATTAGTTGATTATGCTTCGAGTTTCTCTGAAGCTGTGCCCTTAAAGACCATAACTACTACAGAGGTGGCTGAAGCCCGTTTGTCCATCTTCTCCAGAGTGGGCATCCCTAGAGAAATTTTGTCTGCAGTAACAGCAGTAAGGGCTCTGACAGATACGAGAACTCAAACATTTATGAACATTGTACTAGCCAAGGAGTCGAACCCATGCTGTTTTGGCCCACCTCATGGTGAGCGAAAAAGCATGACGCTTTAGACCACTAGACCACACAATCCTTAACAACGGCGCATCCAGCAAAGCTAGATGTTGTACCCGCCATCGAAGGACATACGGTGAACATTGTATTATGGTTGTCAATACATCTTCACGTCCAATATGGCTGAAAGATGAAGCTTCAGTAACCCACGATATTACAAACAAAACATCAATGCTGTGAGAGGTTTGACTGCCTGGCCAGGCGCCTCAGTTGTCTGGATAAGGAAGCTAGACGCAAGTTCCATACACAGGTTTAAGAGTAGGTATAATATGATCTATGATGCCAGAAAGTTAAGACCGTTCCTGAATATATGACATGGGGCCAAGAGCCGAAACTCGACCCCCACAACTAGGCAAGATCTCTAAGGTACAAATAGGGCCAAGAGCCAGGACTCAACTCTGCAGCCACAACAAGGTGAGCAATCAAGGACACTGACAGGTTAAGTGTACATATATGAATAATTGTAAAAAATACCACAAATCTTCATGTGAAGACATGATTTTATTTTTTCACTGTGGTATTTATTTTGCATATTTACAATCACACAGCCGGACTGTGGTTCGTATGTTGGATTACGTGCGGCCAGCAGTAACAGCCTGGTTGATCAGGCCCTGATCCACCATGAGGCCTGGTCACAGACTGGGCCGCGGGGGCGTTGACCCCCGGAACTTTCTCCAGGTAAACTGATTTCTTCCATGTAAAGTAGTGAGTACTCACCCATGTGAAGCCGATACAGCCGATAGCGTCACTAAGCATGTCAGCTAAGATAGCTGGGTAGCTGTTTCCAGTAGGGAAGTAGGCGTGGAAGTGAGGGGAGTGCCAGTGAGTCACCTGAGGGAAGATAGTAAGTCACGTGAGGGTAAATACAGCACCAGGTGGATCACCTGAGAGAAGACAGTAAGGCATTATTATAATCATGGAGAAGCGCTAAACCCCGTAGAATTTTACAGCGCCTGTGGGGGATAATGGAAGGTATTCAGGCATAATTCAGGGAACTGAAGCACAGATCCAATTCTCTAGATCAAGAGCCTCTCACCAGCGTCAAGGAACTTCCCCTGACTAGAGACAGCAATGCAGACGTCCCTCGTAATCAACATTGGGTAACAATGTTAGCTCTTTTTTTGATACATATTTTTATACTTCAGATTATGTCCTCGTATTAATAAAGTCACTGGATGGTGAAACGTCTACAAACTGGTTAGATTTGGCTTAGAGACGTTAATCTAAGCTAACCTAAATAACGTATAAGGGAACATTTTCTTAAATCTGTTAGAAACTGATATCTAGTTTGCCTTAGAAGGATGAACTTAGCAGTAAGCGGAGAGGCAGTACGTCACTGGAGTGGGAAATATTGAATCATTTTAGAGAAACAGTGTTGTGTGTATCAGAACTACAATATATAATTTTGGAGGGGGTAAGCCAGTGGAAGGCTTCGGTCAGATGACCAAAAGCTCCAGCTGTGGGTCATCATAAGACCCGTCTCAAGAAGCACTTATCCTGTTTCCTGACAAACCTAACCAGTGTTTTGTAGTGTTTGAAAGACAAGTGTTGTCACATACCCCAGGCATGATGACTCTCTCAATATCAGCCATAACATCACTCCACTCATCAGGGGTGTCAGGAGCTTGTGCTGGCAACAGTGGTCGTAGATACCCAGGTTCCACTTCTGGTAACACTCTCCTGTTATTTGGATTTATAAACATAATTTATGTCTGGTATATATTAGTAAGTAATTTATATAGCACTACTTTTGTGTATTTCTTTGCTGCTTAATTTAATTCTCAAAAATTTAGCTTTAGTCTTCCTGAAGACTATTATTTATATGCAAAGATTATGTATGATTAATGCAGTTTAAATTCAAAATTAAATAGGTCATATTATTTCACTTTGATTATTCTATACATATATGTTTTAATTAGTATTTAAACTAGCATGATCTAGTGACATTATTTCTAGTGTTAATATTATTGTAATATAATTTTAAGATTTTAGTGATGGATGCAGAAATATCCGAAAAGTTAAATGTATTATATTTAATGAGTATCCTGTGATGGTATTCCTGGCATCTTTGGTAATGTGAGTGTACTCACATATTTGTACTCATTTGTGGTCGCAGAGCCAGCAAATTTAGCTAAAACAGTTGACACAGGTGTCCCGAGATATTAACTCAGGCACGCCAGTGGCTCCTGCTAGAAAATTCCAGGTAACTGTGAAGTGAGAATTGTAATGGCGGGCTACACTTCCATACTCTGGTACCTCAGTAATGACGGGTTTCTGTATATCCTCTAAAATCTCCCAGCAAACGTTTTCGATCCACGCTTCAGCAGGAAAATTGGCTAATAATGCTGACAGAACCGTAGATCCAGTTCGCTGGGACCTGTCTGGATACTAGTTGGTATCCCCGGTAAGTAAGTTTATTCAGGTATACACAAATACAGTTACATAGATTGTCATATATAGCAGCATATGTGTAGAGAGCCCAGGATAACCCAAAAAAGTCAGTAGCTTATTTCCATTGAGGAAGCTTCGTTGTTCCGCTACCCGAGTAAATTATCGGTGACCTGTGATTCGTACCTGACCAGCTTGCGTTTTCTAACTGATTTCGTTTGAATTTGAAACGTTAGCTTACTAATATTACTATATTAGACCTATTCTTAATTTTTTTTATGTCCTAAAACTGTATTAATAGTAGTAATATGTACAAGTGTTAATTATTATTATTATAATCAAAAAGAAGCGCTAAGCCACAAGGGCTACAAGTGTTAAATATGTGGCTCTTAAAGATTATAAACTGAGTAACTTTACACACCCTCTTAGCCTCGTGGGTCTTTTCGTACCTGCCCTTAAAACTATGTATGGAGGTTGCTTTCACTACTTCCTCACTAAAATCACTGCCCTTTTCCCAAGTAAAGAAAGACTTCTTAATGTTCCTGTGGCTCATATGTCACTTAAACTTCCAGCTGTGTCCTCACGTCCCAGTGATTTGCCTATCAAACAGCCTATCCGTTGACTTGATCAATTCCCATGAATATTTTGTATATCATCACGTCTCGCCTGGTCTCTCTGTCCTTTAATTCAATTACGTTAGCTTCTCCTCGCAGCTTATGATCGTTAGTTCAGAAACAAGTCTTGGTGTAATTCTATACTGTATAAAAGTAATGAATACTGTTGACATTCCTGAAGTCTAGTGTGAATCTGATGGGTAAGTGTTATACCACTTTCACTAATTTCATTAATGACACTACACGCACACATATCTGAAAATGCACCAAAGTGGTTGGGCCACTTACCTTTATTATCCCACCTCACCTCCCCCACCCATCCTTTTCCCATATATCTATCCTTACCCATCCTTCTGCCTTCCCCATCTTACCTAAGTTCTGGTCCTGAAGTCTACTCTTAGATCTGCCAGACCAGCATTGTCTACAGAGATAAATAACAAATAGGTCACAATACCGTGACTGGAACAGTACACATTATAATCAAAAAAGAAGCGCTAAGCCAATGGAACAGTACACAAATAACCCGCACATAGAAGAGAGGAGCTTACCACGACGTTTCGGTCCGACTTGGACCATTTACAGTCACACTCACGTCTACCTAAGCTCCTCTCTATGTACGAATGGTGTTCAGTCCCTGGACCAATAATGTACCTCTGTAATCCTTTGACTACCGCCCACAGGATGGGTATGGGGTGCATATTAGATATTTAATTATGCATCAATTATTTATGTATTGTCTACAGAGGGTATTATGCTGATGTGAGCTTCTGGTGATATACTCCCCTCAAGGAAGGCCCCTTGATGTTGGTGAGAGGCTCTTGATTTAGGGAATTGGGTCTGTGCTCCAGTACCCCGAATTAAACCTGAATGCCTTCCACGTCATCCCCCCCCCCTAGGCGCTGTATAATCCTCCGGGTTTAGCGCTTCCCCCTTGATTATAATAATAATAATAATAATAATAATAATAGTGATATACTGGACACTGTGCCCACCTCTAGGAATTCTCTGAGTGAAGTCTGCAGCCTCTGTCCACTTATTAATACCTCATTATCGGTCTTCTTACTCCTCAAATCTTCATGAACATACATTTACTGGGGTTGGATTCAAGCAACAACTTATCTGACCTCTCTTGCAATTTATCCAGATCTCTATAGAGATTTTTTATGTCGTTATCATGTCCCCCCCCCCTATCCCTCTTGTCCTCCAGTGTCGTCTGGTCGTCAGGTTGTCTGTGTACTCACCTCATTGTGGTTGCAGGGTCGATTCGCAGCTCTTGGACCCGTCTCTTCACTGGTAGCTACTACGTCCAGTCTCCCTGTACTCATCTAGTTGTAGTTGCAGGGATCGATTCACAGCTCCTGGCCCCACCTTTTCGCTAGTCAATACTAGGCTCACTCTCTTCCTGTATTTATCTAGTTGTAGTTGATTCACAGCTCCTGGCCCAATTTTTTCGCTAGTTACTACTAGGCTCACTCCCTGTGCTCACCTAGTTGTGATTGCAGGGGTCGATTCATAGCTCCTGGCCCCACCTTTTCGCTACTCAATACTAGGCTCACTCTCTTCCTGTATTTATCTAGTTGTAGTTGATTCACAGCTCCTGGCCCAATTTTTTCGCTAGTCACTACTAACCCCTGGCTGCCTTCAAGAGAGAGCTGGACAGATACCTAAAGTCGGTGCCGGATCAGCCGGGCTGTGGCTCGTACGTCGGACTGCGTGCGGCCAGCAGTAACAGCCTAGTTGATCAGGCCCTGATCCATCGGGAGGCCTGGTCGTGGACCGGGCCGCGGGGGCGTTGATCCCCGGAATAACCTCCAGGTAACCAGGCTCACTCCCTGTACTCACCTAGTTGTGATTGCAGGGGTTGATTCACAGCTCCTGGCCCGGCCTCTTCACTGATTGCTACTAACTCACTCTCCCTGTTCCATGAGCTTTATTGTGGGTGTGTGTACTCACCTAGCTGTGGCTGCAGAGATCGAGTCACAGCTCCTGGCCCCGTGTGTGTGTTAAATAACTGTTTAACATAGTATGTCTAGCAGTGTCTCTCACCTTTCTCTGATGTTAGTGAGATAGTCTGCGATATAATCAGTCATCTGCCTGGACGCTGCTCTGAACTGCTCACCGTCCATCCTGGAAAACAAATAACTATATTCATGGGGAGCGCTAAACCTGCAGGGGGCATGTACAACCTGGGGAGGGAAGGGAGTGATAATGAGCTTTGATCCGAGGAAGGGAAGAGTAGCTTGGATGAAGAGCTCTTCATCGTGGGAGAGAAATATAAAGATAAAGACAGAAAGAGAGAGATTATTATTATTATAAAGGGGAAGCGCTAAACCCGGAGGATTATACAGCGCCTGGGGGGGGGGATGTGGAAGGCATTCAGGCTTAATTCGGGGAACTGGAGCACAGATCCAATTTCCTAAATCAAGAGCCCCTCACCAACATCAAGGAACCTTCCTTTAAGGGAAGAGAGAGAAATATAAATATATATCGGGAGGCAACAGGTTAAAGCCTACTACACTCCCCTTAAAACCTAGAGTACCCAACAACGGGTGATAATAAAGTGCTCACCTGACAGGATGAAAGTGACAACAGGAACAGAAGATGAAGAGACCTCAAGCAAATGTACTAAAGAGGGGAAAAAAAAAGTGATAAGGAAGGATGAGAGCAGCGCTACACGTCCCCTCACGACGGCGTCTGGGCCGGCACTGGAGACCAGACACAGATACAGACTCACTTTATAGGTCAATACTCGACTCTCCTGCCACATTAATATTATTATATTATTATTATTATTACTAGTAGTAGTAGTATTTGTAGTAGTATTACTAATTATTTGTAGTAATATTAGTATTATTATTTGTATTATTATTGTTAGTATTTGTAGTATTAGTATTATTACTATTATTATTATTTGTAGTAGTATTACTATTATTATTATTATTCACGGGGAAGCGCTATACCTGTAGGGGTCAGCAACACCAGTGGAAAACTAGGCAGTCAGGTTGGATGGAAGGTAGCGTCGATTCCTTGGAACAAAAGCCCTTTACCAGCATAGCCAGGATAACCTAGAAAAGTTAGTAAGACCATTTCCACTGAGGTCCTTGTAAAGACTACTGGAATAGGCTAGGCTAGGCTAGGCTAGGCTAGGCTAGGCTAGGCTAGGCTAGGTTAGGTTAGGTAAGGTTAGGTAAGGTTAGGTTAGGTTAGTTAAGGTTAGGTTAGGCTAGGTTAGGTTAGGTTAGGTCAGGTTAGGTTAGGTTAGGCTAGGTTAGGTTAGGTTAGTTAAGGTTAGGTTGGGCTAGGTTAAGTTAGGTTAGGTTAGGTTAGGTTAGGTTAGGTCAGGTTAGGTTAGGTTAGGTTAGGTTGGGCTAGGTTAGGTTAGGTCAGGTTGGGCTAGGTTAGGTTAGGTCAGGTTGGGCTAGGTTAGGTTAGGTTAGGTTGGGCTAGGTTAGGTTAGGTTAGGTCATGTTAGGTTAGGTTAGGTTAGGTTGCGCTAGGTTAGGTTAGGTCAGGTCAGGTCAGGTCAGGTCAGGTTAGGTTAGGTTAGGTTAGGTTAGGTTAGGTCAGGTTAGGTTAGGTTAGGTCAGGTCAGGTTAGGTTAGGTCAGGTTAGGTCAGGTTAGGTTAGGTTAGATCAGGTCAGGCTAGGTTAAGTTAGGTTAGGTTAGTCAGGAAACAGGACAAGTGTTTCCTGACGTGGATCTTAGTCATATGACCCACAGCTGGAGCTTTTGGTCATCTGACCGAGACCTTCCACTGGCTTACCCCTCCATCCATTTAAAAATAATGGTTACGATTATAACCAGTAGCTTTTTATTAGACAGATAAACCGAGGTCCATCGACTCCCGGCTGAGGGACTGATTACCCCAACTTCCCTTCTACCGTTCTTTGTATTGGACTGAGGAAGCCACTGGCTGGCGAAACGTTGAATAAAGATTCCTTAATGTTGCACGTCTCGTTTATCAACCTGGGGTCTAAGTAATACGTAATTATATCACAACACTTCAGATAACACCTTGATAACACTCGACTGATAACGTACACCAACTTGTGGTCATCTATTTTTAGTTGAGAGGGTCGATTCATAGCTCCTGGCACCGCCTCCTGACTAGTCTCTCTCGTACCTATTCTTAATGCTGTGTATACAGTTTGTTTCCACCATTTCTTCATTTTCCTGCCCTGAGGATGAAGAAATAAATGCTAGATAGTTTGTTTTAAAAAAAGAGTGATTTTCATTATTACGGGGAAGAGCTAAATCCGAAGGGTCCGTGGAGCTTCTGGAGAATGGCAGGCAATCAGGTTTGATCCAGAGGGAGAATATCTCAAATTTCTGTCATTAAGAGCCCTTGAGAAGCATCAATAGCCTCTTGAAGGGTAAGTTTATATAAGTACACATAAGTACAGAATAACCCAAAAACAGTCCGTTGGGTCCTCATCCTTAAGGGACGAGAAAAAAGAAGGGACGGTGGCTCTAGTTCCTTGGATGAAGAGCCATACGTCATCAAAGCACCCCTGAAGTGTTCCAGACAATGGTGGCGCCAATTTGGCTGAATCGGAAAACTCAGGAGAATCTATTTCCATTATTCTTCTTTCTCTGTTCCCCCTCTCACTGTCCTTGTTGCTGATTCAAGGTTCTTCGTCCAAGGAATTAAAGCCATTTCTTCATCTTCCTCTAATCAAACTTGATTACCTCTCATTATGAGCCCTAACAGTTTGGCGCTCCCCGCGAATATAATAATGATGGTAGAGGCTTAGCTTATGGTCCAACTACAATACTTCAACACCCACACACCTCAAGAACGATACATTGTGGATTTTTTTTAGATTTAGATTTTGCCACCGAAGTGGCTAGTTTATTGTGCACCCCATATCTATCCCGTGGACGGTAGCGCGAGAGCTTATGGATACACAAAAGGCCTAGGAACTAGGCCCCAAAGGGTTAACAGGAATACATATGGATTTATATCTACATATCTATACATTGTGGAAACTCGTTAAGAATCAATGTTTTCTTCTGGTGTACCTGAACTAAATCACAATACACTCTTCATATTTCCCTCCAGGGAAAAAATAACTTAAGCATGAGTTAGTTACAGGGACATAGACACAGAGGGTAAAACGTGAGGGGAAATAGTACATATGGAGGGATTTTGGAAAAAGTTTGTGGTAGTGGTGGCGTTAGGTATGTTTCTTAAAGCTCACCTTCCCTTATGTAAGGTGGCCAGGCAGGAGGACATGGAGATACACTTAATGCTGTCCACACTTTATTGGCGCCTGGTGTCACTCCCACCAGTGTACTTGCGTCTTTATTTGTAGTAATAAAGATCACTGCATTAAGGGTCTGTTTACCACTTGTTGGTGTTACGGCTTTAAGTAGTAAAGAGAGGAAGAGATTACTGGAGGCTGAGCCAAGATAGTTGAGTGGATGGGAGGTGGATTGAGAGAGCAAGTGAAAGCGACTGTATTCACTTATTTGTGGTTGCAGGGGTCGAGCACAGCTCCTGGCCCCACCTCTTTGCTGATCGTCACTAGGTCCACTCTCCCTGCTCCAAGAGCTTTATCGTATCTCTTCTTAAAGCTATGTATGGACCCTGCCTCCACTACATCACTCGCCATATTGTTCCACTTCCTGACAACTCTATGACTGAAGAAATACTTATTAATATCCCTGTGACTCGTTTGAGTTTTCGACTTCCAGTGTGTCCCATCTCTGAAACATTCTGTCACTATCCACCTTGTCAATTCATCTCAATATTTTATGTGTTATTATCATGTCCTCCCTATCCCTCCTGTCCTCCTGTGTCATCAGTTGATTTCCCTTAGCTTCTCTTCATAGGACTGGAACTAGTCTTGTTGGAAACCTTTGCACTTTCTCTAATTTCTTGACGTGTTTGACCAGATGTTGATTCCATACTGGTGCTACATATGGGCCTAACATACACGGTGTACAGTCTTGAGTGACTCCTTACTTAGGTGCCGAAATGCTATTCTTGGGTTTGTTAAGACATCCATATGCTGCAGCAGTTATTTGGTTGATGTGTGCCTCAGAAGGTTTGCAACCTTTGATCCCTTAACCTGAACTTCGTCTGTGGTCTTCTTTGACCTTCCCCAAGCTTCATGACTTTGCACTTTGTGGGGTTAAACTCCAGAAGCCACTTGTTGGACTGCCTGAATGCTCCACATTAGTGTCACATTGTCTGCAAACGCTGACACCTCTGAATTTATCCCTTCCATCATCTCATTCACATATACTAGAAAGAAAACTAGCCCCAGGACTGACCCTTGTGGAACCCTGCTCATAATGTGCCCACTGATACCCCCACTATAGGGCCTATACTAACTTCCCTATGGTGTATAGAAATTTATTTGGATGAATCTTATTAGAGCCAGCTGGCTGAGTGGCTTACACACTGGCCTGGAGTTTCAGGACTTACCATAGGTTCAAACTCCACCTGTTCTGTGGTTTATGACTTTCCTGTTTGATCTCTATCCCCCCACCAGAGGGCAACAGTCCCACGGGCAGATTCAACTTCCTCAAGATGTATGTGGGTCATGTATGTGGGTCACTGTACATGGTCAGCGTACGGACCAGTATTAGCTTCAGTAAGTCATGATCACACTGGAGTCGGACCCATCCAGCACAACCACAACAATGTAAGTAAGTTTATTCAGGTACACACACATATACAGTTACATAGAATTATCATACATAGCAGCATATGTGTAGATTATTATTATTATTATTATAATCAAAAAGAAGCGCTAAGCATATGTGTAGAGAACCTGGGATAACCCCAAAAAAAAAGTCAGACTGAAGGTTGTAATTCCCCACAATATACATGAAGCAACACCCATCAGAGGTATAATATAAATTTATGAGACATTAATATACCCTTCAAAATGTGTACAAGTTTTGTTCCACAACACTGTTGGTGAAGGTAAAAAAAAAAAAAAAAAAAAATAATGAATACCTTAATTGTATTGTATATTTCATTTTTTCCACACGTTTTATTAAACTAATATTGTATTAAACCCTTTGTACTTAAAACTAAATTTTATTTAAAATTTAAATAATTTCTTGTATTTATTTCACAACTGCTACTGTATGGGGAGAATTTTCAAGAGGAAACTGGACTACCATTTGCTTTCAGTGACTGATCAACCAGGCTGTGATGGCTTTGTGGGCCTGCAGGCCACTAGCACCAACAGCGTGGTTGACCAGATACTCAACAAGGAAATCTGACCTCATGCTGAGCTGTGGGGCAGACAAGCACTCAGTATCAGTCACAGGTATGACCTCTCAAGGCTCATACCTTGTGAGAGGGCTCATACCTTGTGAGGGCTCATACCTTGTGAGGGCTCATACCTTGTGAGAGGGCTCATACCTTGTGAGAGGGCTCATACCTTGTGAGAGGGCTCATACCTTGTGAGAGGGTTCATACCTTGTGAGAGGGCTCATACCTTGTGAGGGTTCACACCTTGTGAGAGGGCTCATACCTTGTGAGAGGGCTCATACCTTGTGAGAGGGTTCACACCTTGTGAGAGGACTCATACCTTGTGAGAGGGCTCATACCTTGTGAGAGGGTTTGCACCTTGTGAGAGGACTCATACCTTGTGAGGGCTCATACCTTGTGAGAGGGTTCATACCTTGTGAGAGGGCTCATACCTTGTGAGGGCTCATACCTTGTGAGAGGACTCATACCTTGTGA